CGTGTAAGCAGATATTAAACAAGTTTCTTTCCAGAGGTATCATTAACTTCTTATTTGCGACTGAAACGATGGAAACTTGGAGGAAACAATTTTGATCTTTCTTTCGACTTGAATGTTTTACTCAACTTTGATACTCTGAAGTCTATATCAATCTCTTGCGATTCTATTTAATCTACTTTACTATCTACTAGCTTTATCGAAAGATCCTTGGTAGAAATTATAAGTGGTGTTTTGTGCGTTCTCTGTCATTGAGAGACACTAAGTTGAACTTTAGTTTCTTAGTAGTTCTTCAGTTTCCATTAGATCCTTCAAAATATACAGATGTTAGGAAATTTGGATTGACATTTTATTCTTTTTTTTTTCAATTTTAATATTCCATTTAACGCGTGCTTTGACATTATGAAGCCTTCAACCTTTTTTGATCTTATTCAATCTGCAGCTTTACCGAGAGATCCTCTGTAGAATCCACAAGTGGTGTTTTGTGCGTTTTTCTGCCATTTGAAGAAATAGAAATAAATCGAAGTAGAATTGCCGAGCGATTCATTGCGGCGAAAACCATCTGCCAAACAATCCAAATTTACAATCATCGAGACACGATATTTGCTACGTGGACTTTCGCTTTTCGAATTTTTTCCTTCGATTCACAATAATATAAGATACTAGTCAATTTTAGTAGTCTTTGGGATAGATAACTTTTTAAGTTGATTTCTCGAGTTGTTCTTCATTTGTCAATTCTCGTTCCGATTGAAGCTGGCCACACACATTTTCCGTAACAGTAACCGTAAGACGTAACGTAAGAATTGACCAATCATATTGAGAATCGTCGATTGTAAGGTCGCTATTTTTGTGAATATTCGATCGTAATTGGTCAATTCTTACGTTACGTTTTACAGTTACTGTTACAAAAAGTATGTGTGGCCAGCTTGACAGCGCTGGCATTGCGTGCTCGTGTCGCTTCTTCACACGTGACGACAGCTTCGAAAGAACCGGGAGATTCCAGATATGAAGTTTATCGAATGTATATCACAACCTTGGTGGTTGTTCCACACGATGATACCGATTACTCACTAATGTCCGATGTAACGTGCCCGAAGATAAGAATCCGATTGCGAAGCGAATTTTCTTGCTTCGCGTGACGTAAGTCGCATCATTCATCCTTGTTTCGAAGCTTAGTCGCGTGTAGGATAGTTTTTTCAGCACGTATGTATACAATATAATCATTATCCGCTTTACACCACGAGAATGTCCATTAGTCAGACTTTCGACGCGCCTACGCGGCGCCCTGGTTTTCCATTTGTGGATTTATTATCATAAGTAAAAGTTATTTTTGTGTGGACGCGCCGATTTTTTACAAGGATTCACAACTCGTGACACCGTCCTTGAGCGAAATTCCTCAGTTTTTCTGCCTGTCAGTAATCGACGATTTATGTGTGTGTGCGCGCGATTACGAAAATAGATTCCTATGGCCGGCATTCTACAACGCGTCGTAAAGTAAATGGACGAATACGTGCGGGACGGAGTGTTGTTTCGAATTCGAAACAAAACCGGCAGTACCATTTTCTAGAGAATTCTTCGCGAAGAATCTTCTGGAAAATTATATACGCGCAATCAGTGTTGTTCTTATTTTTAACGCCGTTAGAACATCACATTATTGTCGCGGCATTTTTCAGTCTATTGTCTCACCGCTCGAGATATTCGCTACAATAGCGATCGTGCCAAACAAAATTATACGAAGAGGATTCTAGTCTATTAATTCGATGCTGAATATAGAACAGTTTTTCCTTCTACCGAATATATACTGGGATTTTTCCGTCAACAGATCTATCCCAATAATATGTGTTATGATTGTTGCGAAAGCCAAACCGTTAATTTGATTCGCGACCAATCGCCGTATGCTGTTAAAGAAAATTATGGAGGAGCTGTTTTTTAACAGACAGACAGACAGTTTTGTCTTGCTCGTCGCTGCCACGTTTTAACAGTAGTTCTCTTTGAGATTCACCTTTTCTTCGCGTGCGACTAATTCACCATCTCTTCAATCTCTCTACGGAACTCCGCGGAACTGAGAAGACAATTTCAGTGATTCATAGCGACGAATTTTATTATCGAGTAACTTCACTTTGGTAACATCAATAAATTATTGTTACTGTTACGAACGTATATTATTACATCGCCTGTCCAAGTTTCTGCTCGCCTTCCGTAACGTCCGTCTGCGATTAGTTATGTGCGCTTACGCACTCTGCGCTGAGTGGTTCGGGCATTTTCTCAAGCTCAAAATAAATGCGAAGCGTGTTTTTGCGCCTCGGATAAATTTCCATATGACGAGAATCGCGATGAGAATCGCCACGAGAAATAAATAACATGCGCAGATTTTTTATCCCATGCGAAAAAGATTCTCACTTTACTAAATATCTGGATTAGTAAATCCAATGATCTCCTTTAATCTAGATATATGTTGTTAAGATCATCGTCTTGAATAACGTCGTAAAAAATTTTAATCGATGGTTATTACTCATCAAGATTTTGTTAAAGAAGTCAAAAGAATGTGTTGATAGCAAACAGTATGTATATTTTAAAATAAAAGATGCAATATACATGTCTGTGCAACTTTCCAGATTGAAAAACCGAAAATTTTGTATCTTTTCTAAAGAACAATTAAATGCTGTTCTTTGAAAAGAAAATTACTCAAATATTTTTCATTAGTGCGTAGCACCACACATAGCTGAAACACTGATAGTCTATATTTGGATCATGGTCCATATTTAGATCTCTTCCTTTATTGCTCGCAATCAGGTTGATCATCCGCAAGTCGATCGACGAACGCGCGCAGCGCGAACACTACTTTGCGATATCTTCAAAGAGGAGGTGAGGGGAATCTTCCTAGGGCTTATGGGTTACCTAAAATACATAAGGAGGGACACCCGTTGAGAATAATTATTTCTTCTATTAATAGCCCCTTTGATAATCTTGCAGCTTTTTTACATAAAATTATTTACCAGAAAATTCCACCGACAAAAAGCAAAATTAATAATAGCTTTGACTTAGTTAACAATCTTTCATTTAGACATTTCGAGGCACATCATAAGCTGGTTTCTTTGGATGCTATTTCTTTATTTACTAATATTTCTCTTAATCTAGCATTAGCTTCGGTTGACAAACGTTGGCATTATATTGGTGATTCCATTGGGATTCCTCGCAACGAATTTATGTTGGCTTTGGAGTTTGTTCTTGATTCTATATTTTTTACTTTTAATAATAAATCTTATAAACAGACTTTTGGGAGTCCTATGGGCTCCCTATTGTCCTCTATTATTGCAAACCTAGTTCTTCAAGATTTGGAAGAAAGAGCTTTTAACATGATTCCGGTGACATTGCCTTTTTATTTTAGATATGTCGACGATATTCTTTTAGCGGCTCCTAAGGAGTTTAGATAACATTTTGCGCATTTTTAATTTGTTTTATCCTCGGCTGCAGTTCACAACTAAAATAGGAGATGACAGTATTAACTTTTTAGACACCACTCTTTTAATACGTAATAACACAATTATTTTCGACTGGTATCATAAACCAACGTTTTCTGGTCGATACCTTAACTTTTTGTCTTTCCATCCTATTGAACACAAAATCGGAACAATTATTGGCTTGATTGATAGGATATTTTATCTTAGTCATTCTTCTTTCCATAAGAAAAATTTAGATTTTATCATTTTGACGCTAATTAATAATAATTATTCTTTTGACTTAATTTTTAAAACTATAAAACGTAGACTGATGTTCCTTATTGGTAATTGTGGACGAGGTTCAGGGATAGTCAAAATTAATTTGACAGCTTCTGGTTATAATAAAAAATATTTTACCATACCGTTTTTGGTTTAGTTTCGAACAGACTGGCAAAGCTTTTTAGAAATAATATAACAAATATTGCTTATTTTTGCACTAATAAATTATCAGGAATGATTCGTGTGCATAAAGACAGGTTGCCTCCTGGTTTTCGTAATAACGTTGTGTATAAATTGCAATGCAGTAGTTGTGAGGCTTTGTATGTTGGTTAAACTAGTAGAAGACTCTCCACGCGTATTGCTGAACATATGAGAATACCAAGGAGTTCTACAATGGAGTTGACAGCCATATAGGAACACCGTATGAAGAAAAACCATGATTTCAATTGGGATCATGCTAAAGTTTTATATGAGGAACGTTTTTACTTGAAACGCCTGAACTCAGAAATGATTTACATTAAACTTCAAAAGCATGGACTTAACTTACAAAAGGACACAGAATATTTGGGCAACGGCTACTGCGGCTTGTTTTGAAAATAAATCTCTGTTTGTTTCCTTCTCTTCCACGACTCGTTGATAATGCACAATGATAATGCTTATAAATATGATAATGATAAGCTACATTAGCATATGATAATGCTAATGTATATAAATTGCTATTATCCGTATTACCTAGACTTGGCGATGTTATCGTTGACAGGATCGTTTCACTTTATTAGCTGAGCCTTCAATTTAACAAAGGTATCTTATATTGACTATTTTATGTATTTATTATATTTTAATCTTACTTATTTTTATTTTATTATATATTTTTTATAGTTATGACGGCTACTTCGTAATTTTAATATGAACTTCTTAATATTATTCCGGTAACGGTCTTGTCAGCTATAATATTGCAAATAACATTCATGTCATTTTACTCATGTCTTTAATTAATACTTTTGCTTTGTAATTCGTTCGTATTGTAAATCTTGAGGTTTTATTTATTTATCACTGATGAGGGTTCATGATTGAGCCGAAATGTTTGATTATCTATATTGATTATTCATGTTCAATAAATATTACTCTATTTCCTAACACAAGGAAGGTTTTACCCATATGGTACATAGCACTATTAATCCTGTGCTTGAACTCGAATTAGCCCTTTTTCCTATTATTAAATTGATTTCAAAGAGGAGCGTAACGCTCGATGAGTAATGTGCAATTGGGTTTCTTTCTGTTCAGATCGCCACAAACACGCGCAACCATTGGTATGGTACCATTGGTTCCCGCTTCGGACGCCATGAAGGAAAACACTAGCACAGCACCGGCCTTGCCATCTCCCGCTGCCATTTTGCCGGACCAACCGTGTATTGAGGCCGAGGTTGGTCTGGCCACACGCAAAGCTACTTCTCCGCAACAGATACTCGAGTCTATGAAAACGGTAAAAAAATCTTCTTGTTAACGAATAAAGTAACTCTTCTCGCGTTCTTTTCATTTTCAATTACCTCTTACGTCGCGTATATCAGTTCGAAGAAGAATCGATGAAGAAGACAATAAAGTATCCCTTCAGAGCAGCGACAATTTTATTACTCAGTTTATCTCCAACTGTGATGCTTAAAAAGTAATAAAAAAAAAAAAACAAAAAGAGCCATTCTTTCTTCGCAAAGTTACACCTTTGAAAATTTGGAAGTTCAGCAATCATCCAATCCGCGTGTCTACTCGCGTCCTAATTCAATTTTAAACCCTATAGAGCACTCCATGCCTCACCGAGTTGCCGCCGGATGCGAACGCCAAGCAGACAACTGCATGGCTACGCGCGAGTCGCTTCAATGCATTCGAATCAACCTTCGCGAGCTTCTCCGCCTCGGATATCCTGCGCCTATCCCGCGAGGATCTCATCCAGATCTGCGGGGTGGCGGACGGCATCCGACTGTTCAACACACTGCACTCCAAGGCGCCGACGCCGAAGCTCACACTCTACTTCTCGCTGGAAGGCAACGGCTCTCTCTGGCGAGTCGCCTACTTGGAGACTCTGACGAGTGGCATACTCACGAACAAGTTGCTCAGCACTCTCAGTCTGCCACCCGACCGACTGCACTCGATACTGTTCTTGGGTCCGCAGGGGATACACGTGTTGGTTACTGACGAACTGGTGGCGAACATGAAGGACGAAAGCATGTACCTCGTTGAGATGATCAAAGGTAAACGTGCACTTTGCCATTCGCAATTTCGATGAAAAACTGGTTATTACTAAATCATTGTTAACAATGTATGCATATATGATTCTTTCAGATCCTGCCAGCGAGCGCTACAAATTGCTGATTAAGTCTAAGGCAATTTGAACGATTTGTCTTTTCGTATGTACAGAATACTTGTTTCACTAATATGAGGGGATGTGTGCAAAACGACAGTTGGTTTACGCAAAATCCAATCATACTATCTCTCTTTTTAACGAATAGAGGAGAAAGTGGTAATGTGAAACAGGATGGTAATATGAAATAAGGCTGATTTTTTAATTGCTGTGATCTGTTAGTAACTTAAAAATAAACATAACCATTAGAATCTTTATCGACCATCAAAGGCGTTTGGCATCGGTGCCATGTTGTTTATAGTGTTAAGAGAAGCTGCTTTGAATTTTTCTTGTTAAAACCTTTTACAAGGTAAAATTCAACGTTTTCTTATCTTATCGGTAAATCTAGCATATTAGCTATAGTGTATCGATTAGTAATAAGATTGAACTTCAAAATTGTTATATTTTGAGATTCTTTTGAAAAATATCGACAAGTAGTAACCTGGATAACAATAAGTATTTCATATGAAACAAAGTGTTACAAAATCACATCTTATATTTCCACATCTTATGCGGGTATAAAAGTGATGTTTTTATTAGCGACTTTTGTTTATAGGTCTAAAAAACTTTTTCATAATATTAATTATTAAGTTTAATTTTCTTAATTTTCGTAGACATTTAAAAAATTTTTATTTATAATTTTTATATTTAAAGGAATTCAATAAAAAGGATATTTTAACATCAACAACTTTCTAATAATAAAAAGTAAGTTTTTTTATTTTCATATCTGTTTCATATTACTATTTTCCATTTTCCAAGACTTCATTTCTTGCACTTAAAAATGTTAAAAAAAATTTATCGCCTTTAGATAGTTTATTTTTCTCTAATAATTATAAATACATTATAAAAGATATACTTGCTAATCTTTCTGTCGATTATGGATGCAATTATTGTATTTAATATTGGATTTTTCGTCCAAAATAAAGAAATTATCAATATTCCCACCTTCTCTTCTATGAACAACGGAGATGATTATACAATTATAAACATTTAAAGAGAAGAGATTATGATTGACAAATCAATTAAGATTTGAACGTAATTAATAATTCGATAACATATTTATAATAGACGTGTCCGAATATATATAAAAGCAAACTTGTCGAAACGTTATTAAGAATCATCGACTGATGTTTCACGCGTAACAGAACTAAAACATACTCATTTATATTTAGATTTGTTCCGATATTCTTTTCTTCTTTCAGATACAGATGTTTTTTTATCTTAATAATGTGAGATTATTGTTATTGCGTTATTATATTACTGTATATTGCGCACAACTCAGCAGTAGTATTTCGGGTAGTGCAGCGTGCGACTACCCGAGGTTTCTGACATTGCGGTCACCCGATGGAAAAAATCATGAAGATGTTTATATTTTTAACAATTCTATAGATATATGCAACTATATGTTATTATAATCTGAAACGTATTGCTTCAGCAATTACGAGAAGTATTGCGATCTTGTATGATCGTGCAATCGTTGCGGCCGAATATTTTGAGATTATGAACATTCTGAGTTTGGAGCATTTAGAAATGCGAAGGTGCTTAGCATCTGCCAGATTTCTGTTGTGATTTGTAAGTCGCACGCGAGTTAGAGTTGAGTTAAAGTTAGATTGAAGGCGAATTTCGAGAAGAATTTCGAGAGAAATTTGGGGTAAACAGTAATATATATGGAAGCTGCGAGTAAAGAGTATAGAATTTGCGAATAAACGAAAGGCTATTGAGATTATATAGAGGCCGATATGAACATGCGTCGATCATTTAGTACAATTTGCGAAAACTTTCCGTTTTCGATATACGTGCCACATTAAAAGTAAGAAATGTAGGATTTTAATCTTGTATATAGCAGATGTTTCGGTTACTCGTTGATTTCATAACTCTCGTTTGCATTAAGCATTACTCTTGTTTCTGTAAACCTTTAACATGTTTATGGTTTGCGAGTAAAGTAAAACGTCGTTATCGCGAGAAATCAACAATGAACACCGAGTTTTACAGTATAAACAATTTTGTAAGAGAAGGGAGCTATAAGCAATTTGGTAAGAGAAGGAAACTTTAAGCGCGAGTGCCTTAATTAATTAATTAATTACGTGCCAATAGACATATTTACTTGGTAAGCATTTGGGCAGGATATAGATGTAGAATTAATTCCTCGAGAAAAAAATATTTTATCACTTTGCAGCGCTAGTACTACGATAAGGAAGAAGTATAGGAAGTAGATATTTTTATACTAATATATTCGAGATTCCACGATCTCTTAGAAATTCTACGAAATACTAGAATTAAATTCTTTCTTTCTTTTTATTATTATTGTTATTATTATATAACTTTTACTGTATATTGTTATTATTATTGTGCAATTTTTACTTTATATTGTTATTATTATTATATAATTTTTACTTCATACGAAGGTGCCAATGCAACTTATTATGTAGCACACTATCTCCTGTTAATTAGTGCGTTAAGATATTACTAAGTAGGATGGTTATTTGTTTTGTTATAAGGGGTGTGGAGTTACTAACGCAATTTAGATGACGAAATAACAATCAATTAGCTAATGAATGTAACAATCTCTTGTATCATTATAGAGTTTTACGCGTTTGCGGCGCGTTGGAAATGCTCACTGCGATAAATCGTGATTAATCGCGCGGTATCGGCTACGTAGAATTTTGTCACCGGTACCTCGATTATGCAAATAAGTGTAATTTTTAATTGTGTTATTTTATAAAATACAATCTATTTTTTTTTGTTGTAATTTAAAGGTCAAAGAAGACGGTGATACCTTGAGAAGCATAATGAACATATGCCCGGTTTATTAATTGTTGTATACCTCGTACGAGTGTTTCCGTCGAAATGAAATGGCATAATAAATACTTCTTGATGCCTAGCCCTTAATTATTTCCTGTGTTATGCGCACCGTTTGTTCATAGAAGCCGTCGTCCCTTAACGTCGCCCCTTAATAACGTTTGATTCTTTTGAATACGCGGTAGCGTCGTGACACCAAGTATCTTATTATTCGAGAAAAAAGAAGATCAATTTTTCATTCATCAATATGTTTTATATTTGAAAAAAAGATGGACAAATTACAAGAAATGAAAGCAGTATTTTAATTTTTCAGTGCGCTGGACATATAAAAATTTATTTATGAACACGGCAGTAGACATCATACTTGAATTTATTATAAAAATTTGTTGGGTTTCATTAACAAAGATCTTTTTTTTCATTAGAGTGCATAAATGATCGTGTTTCTTGACTCGTGCAAAATGTCAGTTCCTTTTCTTTTTTGCCTTTTGTTCCTTGAGTCGTCTCTTCGCCTCTTTGCGATTCTCTCGTTCCTTGGTACTACTGTACAATTTGCGAACAACAATAACTGAAAAAAATCACACAATCGTCATGAAAAATTATCGCAAAAGATGATAAGAACAAGAGAAAATAGCGCTCGCTGAAATTCTTGATCACAAATTTTCGTGATCGAAGCGAGACGCCACAATGCTTCCATAACATCTGGTAACTATGAAATTAATTTACTGAATATTATTAACAAATTAAGTTGCTAACAGACATGCTGGAAGACATATCGTGTTATTTGCTCACAAAATTTGGTAATGCAAGACACGTCGTACCTAGTAGAAAGGCCACAATCGACATCGCGAAGATAAATAGGATGTAAGATTGGTACGGGACGAGCCACGTGGGCAAAATTGAATTGTTAGTTAATTCATTAACAGACTTGGTCAGTACGTCGTAAGCGCCCTTATGAAACTTCTCCTTTTCTTCATCGGACAGCTGCTGGTACTTTTCGAACATGCTCGACAATTTTTCCTTCACATCCTCCGACAGCCCCTCGTTCTCCTCCAACGTGTCCATAAAATTGTCGTCCATATCGAACAGAGGCGCAGATGCGGGCACGGAAACTTCTTACGTATATGCGGAGATCCGTATGGATTCGGATCAAGAGCTGGACTGGATGGATAAAAGCGAACGACAAGACGAGTGGGTTTGATTAGATAAGAAACGACGAAGACACACGGTGAGCTATGATGCAAGTGGCATCGACGTGCCGATTGCACGTTCGACGAATTTTACAAGCGCGAACTCGCACGCGACGCGAGGGGAGCGTCACTTCGCGAATCTACCGAACGCCACGACAACGCTACACCTGTACCTCGCGTTTTCGGCGGGAAGAAGTTGTCAAACTGATTGATGTCAAGAGCGCGTGGGCGTGTTTAAAGGCGGATTATCAAGGACTCTCGTGCATTACGGTCGAATTCATCGAAGGTAATACGATATTTGCAGAAACTGAACAAACATAACGCTCATCATCGCGCGAACGAATCGTTCGTGCGACTTCGTGAAGTCAAAACATTTCCCCCGCGAGTTCACGGCAACAGGTGCGACGTGTTGAAACTGTCTTTCACATAATATCTCCTTTGTGTTTCAAAAATAAGTTAATTGTAAGCGCTTCCGCATGATATCTGACTCCACTTTAGCGTCAAAAAGTCTTGGTATTCATTAAAAATGAAGTAAATGTAACAGCAATAATATATAGTAATAGTAGACCGAGGTGAATTGGATCAAAAGGAGACTTTTGAAAGGCAGTTGTTATTTTATTTTTTTTTTGTTTCAAACAAACTTTTCTATCGTGAAGTAACTGGTACAAGTAAACTTTGTTACATAAATATGCCACACTATCATCAAATAAAATGAAAAACAATCTAAAAAATTATTCACAATTATTATCATTACACAATATTCACATTTATGTAATCACTTATAATTAACAAATATGTATTTTTCGAGTTTCATGTTTTTATTTCGAATATAATTTATATTTTATTCTCGATTTTTATAAAAAGCAGCCCAGTCAATATCGAGCAATATCAATTCATCTCAAGTAGTATGATGGAGTCTTAATAATGTCTTGATGATGTCTGTAACATAAGATGTCATTATTAAGACGTCATTTAACATCACCTTACTACTTGGGATGTATGTGTTGCACTTAACAAGTGCAATATAACGCATGATGGTTTGTTGTATTTACATTGTTAAGTGCGAGATTACAACATAGATGTAATGTAATGATATTCGATGTTGACTGGGACCAATCTCAATGTTACAACTCACTGCACTTCTTAGGACAGAGAAAAAAGAATTATTAAATTAAAAATGAGATTATCTGTTTCCAACAGTTGCAACTCACTACGTGAGCAATTTGGGCAAGAATTGTTGTTTGGTATAATTTAAGAATTTTTTAAAGTAAAGAAAGTTTACAAATCAACAATCATCTACTTTTTCTCGCGACTGAGAGAAATGATATTTTTATTTTTGTAATGTATTACAATAATATTATAGTAGTTTTACTATATTATATGGTATTTATATATATAATATTATAATAATTTTATTATATTATATAATATTTATATATATAATATAGTTATTATATATATAAATACACTATATAATACAGTAATTATATACTAATTATTTTCATACACAAATTGGAAATTGTATAATTACGATGAAGCCATCGACAAAATACTAAACAAATTTATTATAATAGTATTATAATACCAGCTCTTGAATTTTATAGTGTATTACATAGTGGTATTACATACATTGTTTCCTTGCAAATTGAGAATTACGATTAATTACGATAAAGTATCATTAAAGAGTTATTATACAGATTTTGTCGTAAGTTCAAGCACTTGTTCGCAACGCCCGAGGCACACGATGTTCGATTCTCTAGTGCATGGAGCGCATAATTTCCAAAACGACAACTTCCATTATTTCGCGTATAACATTATCACAACACGATGTGATATTTAAATACACAAATGTAATTCGAGCATGTGATTGCTTCTGATACACTGATTAATGCATGTGAGGAAGCACGCGCAAAATATGTTGCCAATAATATGTTGCTCGAAATTATGTCGCTCTCCGTTCACAACAGAGAATTGAGCATCGTGCGCCGCGGATTTAAGTGCACGTCAGCTATTTTGTAAAAAGACGATTTGTAAAAACAAGTAATTTTGTAAAAATAGGTGCGATGAACTTCCATAGTACATGTAAAATTATAAAATCACACTCCTTCTTTCGAATTTTCTTCTTGTCTAAGTAACCCTCCTCCTGTTATATCTGCCGAATATAAATCCTGTGATAATTGCTGTGAAAACGAAAAAATCACCGATAAGACAATTTCGTTAGAGCAACCTTTGCTTCTTTTTCCACTTCCGTTACATTATATCGGAATATATATAATTTGTTTCTTTTTTATTCAATATATCTTACAATGTTTTTGACTCAAATGAATTTGCATCGCTCTGCGAGTGATTAATGATGTTAAAAACTTTATGATACGTTAAACAGAGTCAACGGCGTTATTAATCACTCTCAGAGCGATTGAAACCTTTCTTAATCGAAAGCAATTAATGAAATTGTTAATTTCATCATACAAATATAATAATCTGTGGAAGAATCGTATCAAACAGCTGTAATGTCTCAGAAAAGCGCTTGTAAAAATTATTTAAAAATACTTAGTACAGATTTACTTACCTATTAGGAAGCAACATAGAATATGGAAGGTATAATGGATGACAAATGTAAATTTAGATAGCCAAACTATCATTACATTTTTTATCTTGTAGCGCATGATCTTCTTCATTACTTTCGTGAGCTTCACTTGCAAACTCTTTTCCATTTGAACGTGAGCCATCGACAACTCTTCAAGTATTTTATCGAGATTGTCGAGACCGTCATCAAGTATTTTCTCGATTTTAAAAGATGAATAAATGTGATTGTACACATTTTCAGATACGTCAAATGAAGTAGTACAATGTCTTTGTGTTTTCCACGTATAGGTACTTCGTGGTGAATAATTTATATTGTTTAAGTCTATGAACAATATAAATACCAGCCACTGAAGAAAACATATAATTATAGGGTGCATCCTATTGAACAAAAATAATAATAGTTATTATTATTCTAATGATAAGATAATGATTTTGTAACATACTATTCGGCATAATAATAACTTAATGATACACGCGAGATTATTATTATCACTATGCTCTTCGCACGAAACATTCACGAAGTTAATAAAATTATATTTTGATGGAAGAAAGAATATTAAAAATAGACCATTTTTTATTCACTGATAAAACTTTAATTAATTATTGGAAAATATTTTTTGGGATCTTCTAGAAATAGAAAATAAAAATTATAATTTATTTGTAATTATCAATTATAATTATTAGAATAAATTATTATAAGTCCTATTATAATCATAATTATAATTAATTAAAATAATTATTAAAATTAATTAGAGTTAATTACAGTTATTTATCCATCAGTTCTGTATGTATGTATGTGTAGGAGTAGGTGTGTGTAAGTGTAATGAGAGAAAGTTATGAAAATCGCGACTTGTTATTGATATTGTTGAAATATTAACGCAAAATATTTTTTAAGCTTTACACCTTTGATGTCTATAAAATAAAATAAATTGCATATTTACATCTTAAGAGATGATTAATAAATGTAAAGAAGTTTGTTTTTTTATTTACACAATGTGATATGCATGCAGAGGAATCCGAAAATGGCTTATTTTTGACAACTTCCTTTAATCATTCTTTATTTGATAATTTCTTATTCTTATTTAATTTATTTAGTTCTTATTTCTCCTGAGAGAAAAAGTAGCTTTACGGACTCAGTTCTGACAAGTGTTCGAGTAGCGTCCAGTAATAACAATAATCATATTGCTAATAATAAAAACTTTAATGTACATAAGTTAAAACATGGGAAAAAGCAGAGCATTCGGTAACGTACATGAAAAATAATAACTTTTTCTACTCACAATCGTATAATACCTGAACGATTTAACTTATTATTTAATGTCGTAATATTATTGTTGTCGCAATATTTTTATTGTCGCAATTTCAATGAATTTCGTACCTGTGAGTGAGCTTTTCTCTGTATTACAACAGTATTATCAGTATTATCCAAGCATGCAAGATATTCTGTAAAGTGTAACGAAATTGGTCACCCTAGAAGCTTCTGGAGATTATAATCTTGTAAAGTTCTTCTCGCAGGACAACAAAATCGACCGATTTAAGTTACAAACGGATCTACTGGCTGATCTGACTTGTGTTTAGTATTGTAATGAAAATATGTATATGTGGTTTTGGTAATAGTGACTATAATATGTAATGATATGACGTCAGATGTTGTTCATCAGTGGATAGTTCGACATTACTGTGTTTATCAAGCGCTGCGGTCGCGGCGCGACGCTGAGTACGTATCAAACAAAAAACGCGACTGTGTAACTTATCTGAAATTTCTGTGTCGATTGGTTTTCCGAATCTAATATCTCAAGCACGGAAACTATAATTTAAAATCTAATGACAGTTTCCTTATATAATGTTTAGCGCACGCGTAATTGGCACAGAAATACTAAAAACAAAATGTACCATACAAAAATTATCAAAAAGAAAACTACGAAACGAGAATTACATGTTAACTTAAACAAAGTGCAGATATTTTAAATTGATAATATCAAAAAAAATAATATCAATATAATAAACCAATATTATAATTTTTTTTAATCCATGTTTTACTGATATAAGAGACTGACATAAAACATAACTAATTAAAAAAAATTTTCTTATTCAAAATGTCTATATATTATAATATTGATATTTATCACATAATATACGTACTTGGTTTATTATATTGACCTTATTTCTTTTTTTAATATTATTAATTTAAAATATTTGCACTTTGTTTAAATTAACATGTACTTTTTGTTTGTAGTTTGTACTTTTTGTTTTGATAATTTTTGTATGGTATTTCTTGTTTAGTATTTTTGATTAAACATTAGAATTTTGGAGAATATCAATGGAATTCCCCAGGAATCACCAATGGATTGAAGTTGACGGCTACACTCGAAGACTTTATATTTGTAAAATATTTGTAGAAATCGTTTTTACTTTTACTCGATTTACTGATAATTTGTGAAAACGTTACAGAAACGATATGATTCAAAATATATATATATTTTTTTTAAATAACTAACGTCTCACAAAATGTTTTTTAACCGGATTTTCTAACTTAAAATTTCATTGAGAACAAAAATTAATTATTGAGAGAGGTGTTCAACATGAAATGTTTAATAAAAAATTTTTTGAAATATTTAATATATTAATATATAATATACATATATAATAATAGAATATATATAATAATATAATATACATGCAAGACAATTGTAGATGCAAATAGTTGTCAATCTACTTAATTAATGAAATAATATACAATTACATAATTTCTTTTTAAAGTTTATATAATTAAGGTGAAGTAATTATATAAATAAAAAAATTTAGGATTATAATTTACATACGATAACATTCTATACGGACTTCTTCTGTTCTTTTTCTTCTCTTTTTTTCTGTTATCATGCTTCCCCTTTTAATACAGCTTTCTTTTTTTGTTTCTTCCATTTTTATTAAGGCCAATTAAAGATGATTTATTTAATCTTATTTAAAGAAGATAGGCAAACATGATTCCTATGATTAGTCCTGTTACGATAATGTAATTATGAAGTAACATGAAAATAATAAAAATCTTTTTTCATTATGGCAAATTCGAAGAAATATTGCGAATTATAATATGTAATAGAAGTATTGTGATTTTGTTTGACAATTTGTAATTTATTTTAACAACAATTACCTAATATATATACAATTAAGTAAAATATTAAGAAATATTCCTCTAAAAATTCTGGTATGAGATAATAGTACTTCTTTAACATTTTCGGAGTCTCCTTTTTTATAATATCGTCCATCATTAATAACATTCTTTTTATCTCAAGATGTATCTTTTTAAACTTTGTTAACCGCAAGGTTTCTAAAATATCCGGATGTTCTTTATTTTTCTCTTTTGCTTTCAGGAACTTCTCAACCGCGATCTTTTCTTCATCGTGAATTTTGAAAAAGCTTGAAGTCATGGTATTCTTGTAATTATCATAATTATACTCATTGTAATCGTAATTATCGTAATTGTAGACATCATGATAATCGTAGTCATCGTAATCGTAGTCATTGTAATCGTAGTCATCGTAATCGTAGTCATCGTAATTATCGTAATCGTAATCGTAGTCACTGTAGTAGTTGTATGTGTCATATATGAAATGGTCTGAGATAAAATTATTTGATGTTTCATTTAATTCCTTGATGTCATCAGTTAATCGCTCAATATTTTCTTTTGCATCCATGAACAATTCGCCCAATTTGGAGGTTATCAGGAAGAATATTGTGATTACTTTCCACATGCTAATTAAATATGATCAGGATTGTAAAAATATTAGTTAAAATTTTCCCAATTTTAATAATTGATTTGAACAAATATGTTTTAATTTAATTAATTGACGATTGATTCCAGTAAAATCAATTGAAGAATCTCACACAACGTGCGCGTTTAAAAGATATCTTGTTCTAGAAATCTTATAAATAACTAGAAATCTTAAAAATCTAATAGACGTTTTCAGACTTTAAGATATCTTATTTAAGATATCTTCTTTCAGACATCTTATAGTCGTCTTAAATCTTATAAAAATTTTAAATCTATTATAAGACATTTTTAAGATATTATATAACTGTAAAAAACTGCATTATCCAAGTAACAAGATGATGTCTAAAGATGTCTTACGTATTATTGATATTAAAGACATTAAAATATTATTAATATATACTAATATTAACATCATTTAACGTTACTCTTGTACCTAAGTACCGTTTATTACTATACACGCATTACTTTAGCATATCATACCAATCTCTTAGTCTTTGTGAGTATCGTTAATGCATGGATAGAATTTTAGCAATTTTATAAACTGTTATAGGATTTTGTAAAAGATTGATATTTTGCACTAATTCACTATCCTTTTATTTCACGAATGTGTCATTTAGGTAGAATGAAAAATTATAATTTTAATGTTAAAATAATAAGAAAATTACTAACAAGCTCACTTTTCAATTACGATTAGGTCTTTAAATGTCTTTACTCACATCAATCGTCTTTAGTAGAATTTGTTGAAATTAATTGTCAATTAAACTCCAATTTAATTAGCTCATATTAATCGTCAATTAAAGACTATAATTAAATAAAAAAGTAATCAATTACTCGTAATCCTAAATATAATAAATATTAGAGAATTTTCATGGAAAAGGGAAAACAAATATATATATAGACGCGCACCGATGTTACTTTGAACGATTTCAGACGCAATTTGCAAGCTGCTTATGTACAGATACGATTCTGCACATATTGAGAATCGAGAAAAAATGAGAGCAAAACTCTCAACGCCATTTCCTATCTGCTAATATAAGTTCTACTGTAAGTTTTATTACGTTAAACGAGGTTCCTACTTCAAGATGTAGCGTTGCGACCTTTCTCGAATATGTGCACCGAAGAAAGCTGATATCGGCGTTCCTGTGGAATGAACTCCGGAGACCAAGTTTTCTATTTGGCAAATTGAATCGACTGGTGTCGGCCGATACTGAAACTGGTCGTGGTATTCCGTAGACGGACGTTGGTTGTCCGACGAATGATTGTCTAACTGGAACTACAGAGTAGCATAGCTTTTTCCTCTCGAAGCTGATGTTTACATGCTTTATATTGTGTAAATAGACACGTATGAAACACATTGTAAGTGTAGAATTGAGATCATTATACATTAAAATAACTGGTTCCCTACATATAGAATGCTTAAGACACAGTGATATGTATATATTTCAAGACTGGAATACTAACAACAATCAGTATTTCTGGCCTAATGTGGTCTGTCAAAAACTGTTTTATAAAGAACAATCCATCGTACAACTTTTCAAGGACGCTGATTTAAATGTGGAATTAGGTAATTTAATAAAAATACCTTTCTTGTTTTCTGTGATAGAATCATTTTATATAATATGTTTTTCCGTAAAATTTTTGTTGTAGAAGTAGTTGAGTTATAAACAGAAATAAATGATTACTTAATTACATATTGTGTACTATAAAATCACACGTTATTTATTATTCATTTTAGATAATAAAAATTGTTCTGTCGGATATACCGGACCGGCATATAAGTTCCATTGTGATAGAGCAGTGAACAGTACTTGCAACAGTGTCGTAATTTGTAACGACAATGGCTGTACCTGTACATCTAGGTATAAAAGGGCTGAAACATATGTAAATATTTTGTAATTTTATAGTGTTAATATGCTTGCTCCAATTCATTTATGTTTGTCTTTATTGCGTTTCCAGCTTGTGATAATAATCTTTATGGTCATGCCTGTAAAAATAGGTGTGGCTCGTGTTCCCAAGGCAAACAATGTGATCCAATATTCGGAGTATGCCATAACGGATGCGGAAATGCGGAAAACTATATTTACGCATCACCTTTATGTCAAATAGGTAACGTTTTTCCAGAATGAGTAAGATAATTTTTTTCAGTATATTTACTGAACTAATAGTAAATAACACATTCTTTGAAATACCTAATATATTGATTCTTTTGAAGGTATCGATAAACCAAACGAAACTGAATTCTCCTATATGAATCAAACAACTATCGTAGCCACTGTTCCAATAAAGTGGAAGAAAGAATACGAAGAAATAGATCTTTTTTGTAAATTCAACTTTCAACTTTCAAGTAAACAATATTTAATATTACTTACACGAAAAATATCTATAAAGTGCTATATATACACGATATCTATTCAAGAAAGATCTATAAAGTAAGCCTAGATTTTTATTTGAGTTGCAAGCAGTTAAGTCAATTTTTTAAAATATTTTTTTCACAGAAACTAGGCAAAAAACTCGTGAAACAGTACGAGTGGAAAAGAGTATCTCAAGGTAATACAAAATTAGAAGAAATCTTTGAAAATTTGGAACATGGCACAACTTATAGAATCCAATCTGTGTTTTTAATTAATCAAGTTCCAGTATATGGCGAGTGGAAAAATGTGGATACTTATTATGATTGTAAGTTAGTTTTTCTCCTACTTTTATCTCATGGTCTTTCTGTTATTTCAAATTCGTGATATATTTTAAATATTACGATTGCTAGAAAATTATATTTATATATGATTAAAACACCATTGTGGACATACTACTTCAGATTATTATTTAGGAAAATAGTGACTGCAAAATTTTCATCTAGTATCTTAACAAAAAGTCAAAAGTCTCTATATTCACAAATGTAAAAGACATCATTATACGCAAAGAAGTTGTTATCTACGCGGTTATAACATCTAATCTTGCCATAAAAAGATTGCTTTTGTTTTTTATTTTTTTTATCATTGTGACATTCATTACATTTGTGACAGGTAATGTATTTAATCACGCTTTTAACGATTTAGTGATCAAGAGCTTCAATATTACGCCTGATGAACGCCAAGCTTAATAATCGTTGGAGAGACCGAAATATAAATAGACTCTTTGTATTTACAAGCGAACGAATGTTCGTTTGTAAATATATTTATATTATTTCTAAAATAAATTATCTTATTATATAGTGTATTATATTAGTATAATATCTGCTTTCTTATGCCAGCAATTATATTCGTGCCGGATAAACTCGTCGGATAATCTGCTATTCATAAATAATGATAATGAAGAAAAGAGAATAATACATGGGTTAATTCTGTCTTTTCATGTGCTTTGCCAAATTTAACTCCATATATTTCTTACAATGTAACTATACTCTATAGGAAAAAGAAAATATTTTCTAAGGAAATTCATACATTCGAAGGAGGTGAGTTTAATTATATTTTCAACATTTCATAAGATTCGTGTGCACATAGATATTATTTCATTTTTTATATATACTTATTTCTTGCAAATAATATATGTTTTGCGAATATTTGTAGTTCCATCGAAAGTGGGACCTCTTATAGCGATACTCTTGCCAAGTACGGAGGCTTATTTTGGATATCGCCAAAGCGACCTAATGGAATAATAATGTAATATGTAATACAGTTAACGGTGTGTTGAAAAAGAGTCATCAATTATTAATTTGCAAAGTAACTAATAATTAAGTAACAACAAAAATATTTAGTTAGTAACTTCGTATGAATTACAATAACTTTAAGAAGGCCATATAGAGAAAACGATTTATTGAATCAAATAAATGTTTCTTTGGAATAGTCCAAACAAATTATTTGGTTGACACAACAAAAATATTTCTTTGAAACTAAGCCGCAAATAAATATTTTTCTTGCTTCAAACAAAATTTTGTTCGACTAATCGAAAAATTCGTTTGGACTATTCCAAAGAAGCGTTTATCTGATTCAACCAAATCGTTCTCTTTGTGCATGAGCTAGTTAAAGAATTTTATATAACTCAAAATATCATATGGCAAATATTTTAGGAATATTAAGGGAGCACATATGTTTTAAATTAATTTTTGTTAACAATATGGAATGTTACCCTCTGATCGATAATTAAAAACCAAAGTAATATGATATTCTCTATACGCGGAATTTTTGTTACAATGTTGATGGTTTGTATTAGTCATTTACAATATTTTATGCGGACGTCTTCTAATAATTGCAGGTAGTAGAGTATTTTGGCTATAAGAACGTCCACCTCCTCTATCGAGTAAATACATTCTCGTAGAAAGGACAAATAAAATGGATAACAGACTTTCTGAATTACATGCATATGCAAAGTATAATGTGCAAGTTATAGCACGGAATTCACGGTATTTAAGTGTGCCTGCAGAGACGGAGTTTAGCTTATCTGAAAAGGGTATACTGAATTCACTAGAGTTCCTAAGTATTTTGAATATCTGACTATCCGGATATCCGATATCGGCTCCAAACTGTAAACTCAAAATCACATTATTCGGATAATTCGAATAATGTGTATGTAGTAATAAGCCTAGATCATAAGTGTTCAGATCCAAAGTCAAATTTAGATCCGAGATTGGATATAAAAAAAAAACAGATGAATAAAAAGAAGATTTAATAACAAAATTAATCGGAATTATTATTATTTAGATACGTAAATAAGCAGATTAAATCGTTAAATTGTTTTGCAAATAATGATTAATTTTTTATCAAATTTTCGGTAGAAGTCTATATTACATTAGTGAAGGTGTCCGATTGGCTAACTTGGATTCGGATTCGATGCTTGGAATGTTCAGTTGTTCGTGTTATATTGGAAAATCCAAACCTGCAGATAAGCCGAATTTGAAGCGTCACATTTTCCCGCTATCCAAATAATCGGATATCTTGATGATGTCAGTTCCGTATAAATATCGACGCCTTAATATCTACCTGTCATTTACATATATAATGTTATAATACGTTTTGATTAGTTCCAAGTTCTCATAATAGATTGACTTGAGTAACTAATTATTATATATTATATTATAACTCTGCGATATTAATCGGTTTTTCATTGACTGTCAAATTCAAGTTTCTCAACTATTTATTTCGATTATTATTTCTCGTATTATTATACATGTATTTAACTGTTTAAATGATATTTTTTAATTAAACAGATACCGATGTTTTACATTAACATAATGTTACGTCAATACCGTCTAAATTCACATAAGTTTATGGAGAGTGTATGATAACAGTTAATAATTTTATAGCGATACCAGTGATTACGTTTGGTGAAGTGAAAATGGAAAATTGGATATTATCGTGGAAGCCTTCTAAAGATCGTACAGCAATTTTTGGACCATTAGTTAGTATAGTTGAAATACGAGGAATTAGTGACGCTGTGAAAAATTTTAAAGTGACCAAGACTACTAATTATTACCAAATAGATCTAAAAAATATATTATATGGCGTTGAACATTATGTCGTAAAAATTTTCGCTTCAAAAGGATACGACAAACCAATAAATACTCCGCTTACAAAGAATACGAGTTCGTAACTCTGCCCAAAGGTGACTTTATATTACTTTTTATTTACTGCTTCACATTATTTTTAATAATTACAGCATAATTTTTGACACAACAGCACCGCCTAAAGTAACCAATCTAGAAGTCGTAGAAGTCGAAAATTATGAAACAATACATTTAAGATGGCATAGTCCTCTTCCTTCTCTTAACAGGGTATTACGTGGTTATGACATCAAAGTATGTCCCCATCTAACTCTCGTATAGTTCCATGCAAAGTAATTGAGGTGGAGTTTAATGAAACATGTAGCTTATGGGATGATTATATATGTAAAAGTATTCGCTACACGAATATTAACTACGCTATTATTGATGTAATGAGCTATTATTCTCAATATTCCCAAAGAAACATACAATCGACTTACAATGCGATTATATGATATTATATGATATTAAGTTATGGTGCAAATGTATTTATATTTATGTGCAAAATGTAAGACATGTATTTTCAGGTTGTAGCTTACAATATGGGTGTTTATCAACTAAGTTCCGTTCATGTGACTGTGGCAATGCTTAGCAATGCACGTAAGCCATCACGTTCTTGAATGTTAATTAGTTCTGCATGAAAGAATCTAATCTCCATAGCATTATATTTGTATATAACTATAATCTATTTTAACTATACTGATGTTGCCTCATGGCGATAAACTTGTTATGACTTTGAAAGAAAGCCGACAAGATCCTAATTCTATGTTGTTCCTTCAACTTAATTTGTGCAACGTAACAATTTAATAACAAATTGAAAAAAATATAACTGAGGGACATATATTCCTTCAACTATATCCATATGCTGTATATACATATAACTAAGAAAGGTGCTTTCAATCTCTCTAGATTAAGTCGTAAATTATAGCTGGCTACTAATTCCGATTTAACGATATATCGTGTTTGAATTTCAGAGTCGGACCCACCTCGCTATTTCAATTTTGCGATCGATAATAATAGCGTAGTCGATTTACAATGACTTCATCCATGGAGGACGAGTCGTTATTTGCTTCAATTTACGATCATGGTAGAAATTGTGATGTCAGATTTGAGAGGCTATTTATTGAGAACAGTTTCGTCATTTACCGAAAACAGTTCGTACGAATTGTCTGTGGCTGTGACTAATTATGCGAGTAGCTACTGCGCCCAATTACGTTTGTTGCCGTCGACGCTATACGTTATTTCCATTATCTCTGTGACAACAGAAAATGTGAATAGTAACATGAGTACATTAAATTTTTGGACGCCTTCCACCGTAAATTTCAAAGGCAATATAACGTCCGAAGTGTACGAATTCGATTCCACAATCATAATGCATATTCCGCAAAACGTGAACGATACGTAACAGCATTCTGTACATTATAGTTAAAGGACTGTATCGCGATTGCAATAATTATGTACAACCACATAAGAATTTGTGGAAGCAGGCAGATGTGCAGATGTACGACATCTTTTGGCAAGCTGCTGCGATTTCGGTAGGTGTAGACTTTCATCGCGATATATCTATTACATGACTGCAATCGATTGTCGAAACAACTGATTTCGATGTACACTTGTTTTCAAACCAGTTTGAATGTTTCTTTTTCGTTTGGAATGTAGCTGATGGTCCAAGAAAATTTGTTTTTGATAAATTTTCACAAATTATGTTCTCGCAATGGACCATGGGCTGCGTTGTAAACTACAACAACAAAAAAATGTTCAAATCATTTTGAAGATCAGCGTACACTTAACTGCTAAAAGGTTCGCATACTTTTCATCGAATAAAATTTCAAGGATTCAAGTCAAAACTAAAAACTGCTGACATGTGTATGCATAGTAATCGGTTTTAAATATATAAATATAAAAAATGTTTTTCTTTATTAAATTATATTAATTTATATTAAATTCTTTCTTCCTTAACTTTTACAGATGTCACACTTTGTACTGTCACTTCGGCTCCTGCAAATCCGATTATCGTGAATAAAGTATCTTTCAATTCTGACAGTTTGAAGCGTTGCAACTTCATTCGATAAAGAATGTGAAAATTATTTAGCAATCGAATGTATACAGTGGGTCGCAATACGATTTAGACATAACAAACTTCACAGCGTAGCCGATAGTTCCATGTTCAAAAAACGTATTTTTGAATAATTCGTTCTCTTATTCGACTATTAGCTATGCTTAAGTTCAAGTGTCCAAATCGTTCTGTAACCAAATGTACATCAATTGTTTGAACAATAATTCACTTGTAATGTTGATTAAACTCGCGCAGAATTAATTCGGTAATAGTAATAGTAAATACGGAGTGAAATGTCAAAGTAGAATTTCTTCATACGTCGAATATCAAACTGCAATTGATGTGTACAAGTATTCAACAAAGTTCTCAAATATTTTTCCTTCTTTGCCTGCTCTCAATGGTGATAGACATAAGATATCTCCAATGGTATGGAGTTCACACTTAGCAATGGCGATATTTACGGTAATGTCATTAACTGCCACTTAGTATCTGGAGAGTTGTATGATATAACGATTATCATAAATGAGCCGAATTTGTGTTTTGAGCCAATTATGATTACAAGGAAAATATCGAGGCGTATCGATGTGAAACAGAATATTGGCACATACCTCTTATATAACCTTATAGATCATCTTCGCGGCAATTGCAGCTTTATGGTTTTTCCGAAGGTAGTATATCTATTTGATAGAAAATCTTAATAATACCCATTATGATAAGACAGTTGTTGATATCCGTCAACGTGCAAATATTTTTTAATTAACGTCACTTCTTAACATCACGAATTGAATATTTCAATTAGTATCGGCTCGTTAAAAAACCCTTTAGAAAAAATTAGTATCAACTCGTTTATAAAACCTTTCGTCTCGGTTTTCTGTCTTCTTCCTGGTTCCGGACGTTTTCTATGCAAGGGATAGATGAATGATACCAGAATATTAGCAACAATGAGTAGATAAACAACAATTATCCAATTGTCAAATAATCCGTTCCATTTGGATTTAATCGAGTCATATTTATCTTAAAATTCGAGCCGAATCTCTCGAGTAGTACAAATCAGTTTTGTCTTCGCAATAATGCAGTGTATAATTCTTGGCAGGAAACGCCAGAAGTCGAATGAGCCGCTAGAGTTATAAAACGAGATGGCTTTGTCGCAGAACAATAAAAGATATGTGCACGACGAAAAGGTCATGATATAAAGTTTCAAAGAGGACTCCTCAACTGCGTCCAATAGGCAATCCCTATCGCGGGCAACCACTCCGGAAATAACGTGGAAATAACAGTGAGCCGGGCGACCTGAAATCTTAGCCAAAAACCAAGCATGAGATTTAAACAAAAGAAACTGTTTATTGTTATGTAAACATTTCAGAGTGCTTAAAAACCTATTCTTACCTGTATATTCATTAATTAATATCATTGAGCAAAATTTTGAACTTAGAAAACTACACAAAATCAGTAAGAGAAAATGTTAAATAATTTATTTTCCAATTTCTTAATATACAGTTTTTATTGATATTTTTGCATTAGTAAATGGTGAAACATCACTAAATAAATAAAAAGCTACAAAGAAATATGTAAGAGTTTAACATATCTGGTACAATTTATTCACCTATAACTTAATATTTTTCATGTGTGCGCGCGTTATCGATTCTCTCCACATTTAAACTTCACACCGAAGTAAAAAAAAATGAGATATCATTTTATTCGATAGAATAAAAATGAGGTGCCATTTTATTCGATAAAAACTCGATAGAATGTAACCCATTAACGCTCAAATGTGCTGAAGTTTTACGTTGATTTGAGCCATTCATTTTAATGCGAAAATGAGATCTGTTGTTTATAAAAACTACCATTCATACCAATCTTGATGTCGCCCTATCGAATAGCGTTGAGAAAATTTTAAAAAATTCACAATTTATGCAAAATTTTTACAAAATAAAGTAAAAAACACATGTTTTTAGGTAATTTTTTCTTCTTCCGCTATTTTCTCCATAAAAACGTGTTAGTATCGCTCGGGAAAGTGTTTAAAACGTGTTCCCGATATTTTAACTTATAAAATATGCTATGGGTATTTTTTTTCAACAAACATGGCGATATCAAAATGGCGATCTATTTGAAGCGTTTAATTCGTATTTTCGTTTTTTATCGTTTTCGTATTTTCGTATTTGGTTATCGAAATTGTTTTAGGGCCAATATTATTACAAAATTACATAGCAATTTACACAGTAATTACATAGTAAAATTATGGAGCAACATCGAAATTGGTAGGAATAGTACTCTTTAAAAAAAGCATACCTCATTTCCGTAGTAAAATAAAGGGCTCAAATCGTAACGTAAAATTTTAGCACATTTAAGCGTTAATAAATTAAGACAAAAGCTTCAGTTTCTGATCATCATCAGTTTAGTTCAACGGGTAGATTTGTTATCGCGGTTTCATTAGAAGGAAGTCGAGTTCCTTTTCATCATTCAATGCTGAAACCACCGTTTCTTGATAACAGAAAAAATGTTATACGTAAATAAGATAAAGTGGATCAACAGTAACTTTACTCTGTGGTTTGGTAATTTTGACGTCTTGTGAGTTAAAGTGTGAGGTACGCTTTCGGAGTAGTATAGATTGAGATTCTTGTTAAAGCAGAATATTTAAAGACACTGTGTGCGCGAGAAAATGCTCGTTTGCGAGCTAATTTGACATATAATATTTGAAATGTAGATTTGAAAATTAAGCAAATAGATCATAGCATTTATTCCGTCATTTCTCATTTATTTCGTTTGCTATAAAGATTTCTCCTCTGCAAACGGCAGATGCTACATGTTAAATAACAATGTCAATAATGAATATGTTGATTTTAATTCTCTTTGCAAATCAAGTAAGACATATTTTTGGAGAATTGATCGTATTGCGCGGACCACTCCGTGACGCTAAACATGAAGTGTTATGCATCTCGGAAGATGATGGAGGTGCCTTGAAATGGAACACACGGATAATACTTAATGTTCACAAACCGTTTAGTTCGGAAAAATCTGGAATACGTAAGTTAACAGAACAGATATAAGCACTGAATCAGATCCGCAATAAAGTAAGTAATGTATGTTCATTCATTCTTTGCGACATTTCCTTTTTAATTATTGTCATACATCTACCATAAAATTCACATACTATTGACCATTAAGCGCAGCAAATTCATTCGTAAAATATTCGCTATACCATTGCCTGGTTCGAGAAAGTTTATTCTCAATTTGCTCTCGCATTATTTTAGTATTTCCCAATGCATGTAACTTTAGCAATAATGAGATAGATTGTGAAATGAACGAGAGTTATGGATGTTTAACACGGTGGAACAGAGAACATTGGAAGTTCACACATTCTGCTAGTACACATATGGGTCCTGTTTTCGATAAACGATCGGAAGGTAAAAGTTCCGCTGTTTGAGAAAAAATACAATAATTTCAAATTATAATTACGAAGGGTTAAATTAACCCCTACTGATAAACAGCAAAACAAGAAAGTAGAATAACTTTAAGCAACGTGTATTTAAACTTTTAGCATTCACAGTATTTAAATATGAGCCTCTCTACCGTGATATATATCGTAATAGTACGGGCACAATAGTTGTCTCATTTTCGGTTCGAACGAAAAGGGATGTCCACATATTGATCTGTAACAAAGAATATACAACAGGCTTCTGCTATTGGATTATAATAGGCGGTTGGAACAATACAAAATCTGTCATCCGAAAATGCCCGACAGGAGTGCCGTCAATAGGGGAAAATCTCCAGAAAACCTCGCAATGTGCAATAGAACGTGCCCATTTAAATGTAAGATGTGTAATTTCTCCCTTCTAATTAACCAATCTTGAGTTCTATTTTTAACCAGTTCTCAATCTTATATTAAAGAGAGATAAACTTAAAAATAAATTTGAAAAACATATTTTGCGGGATGACGATTTAAAAATGTAATTCTGAAGAATCTGAAAAAGAGAATCTATATTCCTAAAATATAAGGTAGTAATTAAGGTAGTAATTAAAATTAATTGGTATACAATACAGCATACAGCATTTTATAAAAACGAATGGCGAACTTTTGTTATCATGTGGAATCCTGCGATACGAAATATATCCATTTACGATCCTAATCGATTGATTATGACATACAAAGACACGGAAGAATATGATAAAATGAAATTCTCCAACATATTTCTCAGAAACGACGTATACATGTTAATTCTATATCACAATTGTAAGTACATATCTTAAAGACGTGTGACGGATGGTTGCTAGATATAACCAAATTATAAAAATTTTATTCACAATTTAATCGTAACAAAATTGAAAATATGTAATATAGGAATAAACTAAATTTAAGGCATAAACATTGTCTTCAGATTCTTTTCTCTACACGGATACCCAGGATGCGGTTTTAAGGAGCCCCACGTTTCATCTAATCAATAACGTGACATGTTTGCAACTACTAATTGGTCTTTGCGCAGAGTGCGATGCAGATATAGTGTTGCGCGATTCTGTAACTAATAAAACGATACACATAGTAACGGTAAATGGCTCGTCGGTGACGGCATCGCATGGCTTGCCTATGTGGCAATCTGTTAAAATCGAGAAAGATTCACAAATACCCAATCGAAATGCCATGAGACTCGAAGTGATTCCAAAACTCAGGGTACTCAATATAAATCCGGTATGGGCGATAGCGAATATTCGTGAATGTCCTCCAAAAGGTGTGTATACTTTTAAATTTTTCATTATACGTTATACTTGCAATACTGTTATCGACGGCTATAGCTGATATATATTTGTTATGCATTTAAAAAGGCGAATTTGTGTGCGAGTTTATGTGTGTGATAGTTTTTGTATCTTATATTTTATTCATAAAGTAACTCATTTCCTCTAGGATGCTTTAGAGTAATCGCCGGAAGCGTAGTCAGTGAAACCAGTGTCGATGAAAGAGATGCGATCTCCAAATATGGATATTATTGGCAGAATATAACGTGTCAAAAACTATTTTACAAAGAACAATCTGTAGTGCATCCTTTATGGAAAGCTGAATTAAATATGGAACTAGGTGATCGGAAAATATAATTTTGTTCTTTGTTATATGACTATATGTGTAATCGATATTATGTTAAATTATAAAATTATCAGTATAGAATTCAATGAAACATGAATTTATAAATATAAAATGAAAATATACTGTTACATTTTACTATCCGTTTACATATTTTCTATTATCTTTTTTCAGATGATGCAAATTGTAGTTTCGGATATACTGGACCGAAATGTTTGATCCAATGCAAAACTAATCCAGACAGCAAGCTTGACTGCAAAGGAATCGTTATCTGTAATAAAAACGGATGTACTTGCCCAGCAGGTTATATAGGACATCAATGTGACCAACGTAAGCAATTAACTCTCATCACGTTAATAAACAAAATTCTTTCCATTTTCGGACGATTTTTACATTAACATGATTAATGCGTTAACAGTATGTAGCAAAGGTTTTTACAGCCATAGCTGTAAAAAATGTGGCAAGTGTTTCCAGGATAAACCGTGTCATCGAGAAACTGGAGCATGCCTTGGTGGATGCAAAAATACGGCAAATTATACTTACATACCCCCTTTATGTCAAATAGGTAACAATTACATTTACAAACATGTACTTCACTCCCAAAATCTGTTATCCGAATTTTTATCGCGCTTACCAAATAATCTTAGAAATAAATATTTTATATATTGTTTCTTTTCCAGCCATTGATACTCCGAATAAACTTCAAATCATCTTTAGAAACCAAACAACTATCATAGCAAATGCAGAAATGAAATGGAAAGAAGAATTCAAGGAACAAAAAATTTTTTATTCATTTCGCATTAAAGTAAACGTCATTTAACATTATTCCTATCAATAACCCACGGAGTATCGATAGGTGTATCGATATTTGTTTAAATTGCAAGCAATGAAATAAACTCTTACAGTAATTTTCATTACAGGCCTTGGATGGTAAGTTTATAAATCGACAAATTTGGATCAGAATATTGCAAAATAACGCTCAATTGGTAGCAAAATTTGACCATTTGCTACCTGCTACATTTTATAAAATAATGTGCTCTTTATCTATTGGGCAGACTATAGTAAATAGCACCTGGTTGATTGTCGAGACTTCTTGCGACAGTAAGTCGGATTTTACGTTACTACATTATGTTTTTATATTCGATGTGATTGGAAAATTTGCTGATTGCGTGGATATGTGAAATAAGTTGTGGTTTCTGAATAATCCAAGCACTGAGTTGTATCGAAAATAAGACAATATATATTTGTCTTGTAAACGTGAAATAGTACAGCACACTCTCGAGTCGGTATCGACAAATAGTGCCCCGTAATGAAAAACTTATTTGCACTAACATCCAGCGCACGGATTTTATAAATTTTATCTTAAGTAGATATATACTATCAGAGATTTTTATATAAATTACGTCATTTTATGTGCAAACGTTATAGTTTACGCACTGATTGCATTTATCGATGAAAGTATTGTTCAAACCTGTTTTTATTTCAAAACAATTTTACCTGCAATGTTTAATGTACACTTTATCATTCTTTTAATAATTTAGGGATTCATGACTTTCGTATAATGCCGAATATAACAAACTTAACGATTGATGTGGGAGACAACGAAAACGTAAGTAAATAATAAATAGACTAATGTACACTTCTATTTTGCCGAAAAGAGGATATTAATTAAAATATTTGCTTTTTTCGATATAGAAAACATTGTATTCATGCCCAACAAATTCGTATCGTCTGTTAATCAAACAAACAGATAATCAAAATAGTCATACACAAATGACGAATATTTCTATTACATCTTTTCCATATACAATATCACATTTAACACCAAACACATCTTACATTGTTAAAGTACTGCATGCAAATGATATACTTTTTTATGATACAATCCGCACACTCAAAGCAGGTGAGTTGAAGCAGGTTTTAGCAGGTAAGATTGAATTTTAAACTTTCGTGTAAGCAATTCTTTTATAGCGTACACAATAGTTCATTCAAATGACTTGTTATTAATATACATATTTTTACAAATAACTGCATTTTGACTTTGCAGAATGTAGAAATGGTTTCTATGGCCTTGATTGCAGAAGAAAATGTGGTTCATGTCTGCACGACAAACAGTGCGATCGTGCAAGTGGAGCATGTTCTACAGGATGCAAAAATACGGCAAATTATACTTACATATCTCCTTTGTGTCAAACAGGTAACAACCCTCAATAGCACAATACGCTTATATTGTACTTACTAAACAGATATATAACATTCTTTAAAACAGTTTTCTAACATATCAATTATTTTTTAGGATTTGCTGCTCCAAATGAACTTCAGATTGTATTTAAAAACCAAACTACTATCATAGCTACTGTTCCAGTAAAGTGGGAGGAGGAATATGAAAAAGCTGAAATTTCATATTTATTTGAGATTAAAGTGAACAACATTTAACAACATTTTACAATGTTTCTTTGAATAATCCATAACCACTGAGAATTTGGTTTAATTAGCAAACAATTAAATAAATTATAATGAATATTTTCCTTCCAGATATTGGACGGAAATTCTGTGGATCGACAAGTGTGGAAGAGAATATTTTCAAATACCACCGAATTGATAGGAACATTTAAAAATTTGCAACATGCTACAATTTATCAAATAATGTGCTCTTTATTTATTGAGGAGACAGTGTTAAATAGTGTCTGGGTGAATGTCGAGACTACTTGCGACAGTAAGTCGGATTTGTTTTTATGTTATTACGTTATGTTTTTATATTCCAAAGGATATATAGAACATTCCAAAAATTTGAAGTATTAAAATCATATATTTATATGTTATTATTTAACTACTGTTATTGTTATTGTACATGGAACTTAAAATTATTATTCTATGTAATAGCAGCTACATAAACTTTAGCTTGAACTTTGCGAGGAAGGTCGGAGGAGTATTGTCCGCAAAAATAAAATACATTTAATTATGAGAGAAATAACTCCTGTTAAGAATGTGCGCTTTAAACAGATATCAAAAAGAGATGTAATTGGGAATTTTGAGAGACGTAATGTAAAATTTGAGAGAGATTAAATAACAATAATGATTCTGATTCAGGATCAATTTGACATGGAAAGTTTGATTCACCTTGTATGTTGTGTAACCGGAAAAATAACCGGCGTGTGCGTTTATAACAATCTACCAAATATTATTATTCCTATATGCAAGACTCTTATTTGCACAACACACACTACTATCCAGCATATGGATTTTACAGATTTTAACTTAATTACGCACGTACTTTTAGATATTTTGATATAAAAATATGTTGTATTACGTGTAAACATCATAACTTATGCATTGATTGTATTTATCGATTAATATATTATTTAAATCCATTTTTTTTTAATTTTACTTCCAAAGTTTAATGCATACATATTTAATGTACACTTTATTATTCTTTTAATAATTTAGCGATTCATGACTTTCGTATAACGCCGAATATAACAAACTTAACGATTGACATGGGAAACAACGAAAACGTAAGTAAATAATTAATGGACTGATATACACTTCTAGTTTGCCGAATAGATGATATTAATATAATATTTGATTTTCTCTGTATAGCAAACATTGTATCCATGTCCAACAAATTCGTATCGCCTGCTAATCGAACAAAGAGATGATCAATATCGCTACATACAAACAATGAATACTTCAATTACATCTTTTCCATATACATTACGTTTAACGCCAGGCACATCTTACATTGTTAAAGTACTTCATGCAAATAAAATACTTTTTTATGAAATAATCCGCAAATTAGGAGCAGGTGAGTGTGATTATATTTTAAGCTTTTCGCGTGAGCGATTTTTTTATGAGTAGACACTATATTATTCAAATGACTTGTAATTTATATAGAAATGTTAACAAATAACTGCATTTTGACTTTGCAGAATGTAGAAACGGTATCTATGGCCTTGATTGTACAAGAAAGTGTGGTTCATGTCTGCACGACAAACAGTGCGATCATGTAAGTGGAGCATGTCCTACTGGATGCAAAAATACAGCAAATTATACTTACATATCTCCTTTGTGTCAAACAGGTAACAATTCTAACAGTACGTTTATTCTTATACTGTAATTACTAAATATATATATAACATTCTTTAAAACAGTTTTCTAACATATAACTTATTTTTGAGGTCTTGGTGCGCCAAAAGAACTTCAGATCGTATTTAAGAACCAAACGACTGTCGTAGCCTCTGTTCCAATGAAGTGGGAGGAGGAATATGAAAAAGCTGATATTTCATATTCATTCAATATTAAAGTGAGGAACAACGTTTCTTCGAATAATCCATAACCACTCAGAATTTTGTTTAAAAAGAAAACGGTTAAATAAATTATAATGAATATTTTCCTTCCAGATATTAGACGGAAATTCTGTGGATCGACAAGTGTGGAAGAAAATATTTTCAAATACTACCGAATTGATAGGAACATTTAAAAATTTGCAACATGCTACAATTTATCAAATAATGTGCTCTTTATCTATTGGGCAAACTGTACTAAATGGCACCTGGTTGAATGTGGAAACTACTTGCGACAGTAAGTCGGATTTGTTTTTATGTTACTACATTATGTTTTTTTATATTCGATGGAGTGCGCACAATGTTTTAAACGTTTGAAATATTAAAATCACATATTTATATATTATTATTTATACTACTATTATTGTTATTGTACAAACAACTTGAGATTATTTTCCTGTGTAATAGCAGTTACATAAACTTCAGCTTGAACTTTACGAGAAGGGGTATTATCAACATATATAAAATACTTCTAATAATGAGAAAGTTAAGGCTTGTTATAATAAGAACGTGATAAGAAAGTGCGATTTAAACAGATATCAAAAAGAAGTACACAATTAAGAATTTTTAGAGACAGATTTGATTAAATAATAATAATATTTGTGATTCTGGATCAGTTTGATGTGGATGATTTGATTCACCGCGTATTTTGTGAGACTGGAAAAATACTCCGCACATACGCGTGTCCCATAACAATCGATCAAACATTTATCACAATCTATTAAACATTATTATTTTTCTATTCGAAACATATTCGCACTAACATCTAGCGCACAGATCTTTATAGGCTTTGTTTTAATTAGATACATACCTTCAGTATAGACTTTGACATAGAATACATTATTTTACGTACAAACGTCATAACTTATACATTGATTGTATCGATGAAAATATTATCCAAATCTGTTTTTTTTTGTTTTATCTGCAACCTTTAATGCTTAAATATTTAATGTACACTTTAATATTCTTTTAATAATTTAGCGATTCATGACTTTCGTATAACGCCGAATATAACGAACTTAACGATTGACATGGGAAACAACGGAAACGTGAGTAAATAATTGATAGATTGTTGTACACTTCTAGTTTGTTGAATAGATGATATTAATGCAATATTTGCTTTCCTCTATATAGCAAACATTGTATGTATGCCCAGCAAATTCGTATCGTCTGCTATTCAAACAAACAGACAATGAAAATAATCACATACAAACGATGAATACTTCAATTACATCTTTTCCGTATACATTATCACGTTTAACACCACACACGTCTTACATTGTTTTGATACTCCATAGAAATAAAATACTTTTTTATGAAATAATCCGTACACTGGATGTAGGTGAGTTTGATTGTATTTTAAACTTTTCGATTATTTTAAACTGAGCGATTCTTTTATGAGTAGACTCTACATGAATTAAATGACTTGTAAGTAATATACAGATTTTTACAAATAACTGCATTTCGACTTTACAGAATGTAGAAACGGTTTTTATGGTCTTGATTGCAGAAGTAAATGTGGCTCATGTTTGCACGATAAACAGTGTGATCGTGCAAGTGGAGCATGCCTTATAGGGTGTAAAAATAAGGCCAATTACATTTACATATCTCCTTTATGTCAAACAGGTAACAATCCTCAATAATACAATACGTTTATTCTTATATTGTAATTATTAAATAGATATATAACATTCTTTAAAACAGTTTTCTAACATATAACTTATTTTTGAGGTCTTGGTGCGCCAAATGAACTTCATATCGTATTTAAGAACCAAACGACTGTCGTAGCCTCTGTTCCAATGAAGTGGGAGGAGGAATATGAAAAAGCTGATATTTCATATTCATTCGAAATTAAAGTGAACATTCAACAATACTTCTTAGAATAATCCATAACCACTAAGAATTTTGTTTAAAAAGCAAGCGATTAAATAAATTATAATGAATATTTTTCTTCCAGACATTGGACGGAATTTCCGTGGATCGACAAGTGTGGAAAAGAGTATTTTCAAATACTACTGAATTGATAGGAAAATTTGAAAATTTGCAACCTGCTACAATTTATCAAATTATGGGTTTATTATTTATTGAAGAGGAGGTAATAAGGGGTACCTCTATGAATGTTAAAACCACTTGCGTTCGTAAGTTAGATTTCTTTTTCCATTTTCATATTGTTTTTGCATTAATTACAACGCATTTAATGTTTCAAATTGAGATTATTATGAACATATTAACATTTTATTATTACACAATTTGGAAGTTAAAATACGTCTTATAAGAGATAAGTTCAGGCACAAGTGTTTTAGTGCAGTTCAAACTAACAAAAACATTAGTGGATGTCTTTCATAGATTGCGGGATGAAATTTGTTAATAGAGCATACACACACATAAAGTAATTATACGCGTTTTGGTCTAATTCGCACAGACCCTCCTCAGTGGTGGATTAAAATAGTCAAAAAGAGATAGACATTGGCCAAAAGTCAAAAGCGTGCGGAAAACGCAGAGAAAAGAAAAAAAGAAAGAGAAATCGTCGCGGAAAACGGAGGATACGCACATATGTGAAGCCAATTAATAACATGTTTAAACTTCAAAAACACTCCTTAAAGATACAGCGACCAGTATTGGAATGAGTCCATGCAAGTGACCCTGTCACAACTTCCGTCACTCGCAAGTGCACTTAGTAGTATTCTGCGGTAGTTTTGTCTATAATACGAATACTATAATAAGAAGAGTAAAGGGAATACCAATCTGAAGATAGAACTAATTTCGTGAAGCATATACCTGCGAATACTGCCTGCAGCAGTATAGATAATATGTTTATCTATACGTCGCTGAAGAGAAACAACAAGCTAATAGTGATGATAAATCAGAAACAAAACCTACACGCATCTAAACAACGCGTTATAACCACTACTAAGGTTTTCTGCATTATTTTACGAATTAAAGCTTTGCTTTTAATTTAATGGAAATCATTTCAGCAACAGATCTGTGCCTGAACTTTTATAGGCCCTATTTTAACATCTGATTGGTTTCAAAAGAGTTCTATCTCGATTTTATAATTTTTACACAATTTGGAAATATAATTCAGCATAGTAGCTGCACAAGCATCTTACTGGAAACATCAAAGTTAAAATGTGTGCAAGTGTAGGGTATTTCCTTATATCTAGGAAGGTTATAACACATGCGCTTACAATATTCCAGTTCTCGATTAAAAAATTTGTTGAAGCTTTTTCTCTTTTTTATCAATTGCAATCTTTTATGCATTAAGTATATTATAATTTTGTTAACATATTAGCGGTTAAAGATTTCCATATAACACCGAATGAGACAAGCTTAACCATTGACACGGAAAACGGAGAAAATGTAAGTGTGTATTTAGTACCCTTTCTCGTCTCTCTTTAATAGTTATATATCTTAAATAATTTGCATAAAGACGAATGTATTATGTCAATTTAATATTGGCTTTCTTGTCGTAGAGTTTGTATTCCTGCTCGACAAATTCGTATCGTCTGCTATTCCAACAAGCAGATAGCCAGAATGACCAAATGATTAATACATCATTAACATCCTTCCCATATACATTATCACATTTAACACCATACACGTGTTATAATATTGTTATATTTCATGAAAATGAGAAATTGTTTGCTGGAGAATTCTGCACGCTCGAAGGAGGTGAGTTTGATTGTGGGTTCATATGTTTAGAAAAATCTAGTTTGCGTAGGATAAACTCGTATATTATGGCCATACCGGCAAGATGGCCATAAGCTGTAATTTCCATAATAATTGCAAACATTGCGTTTGTATAATCAGTCACAAAAATAATCAATATTTATCGTAGTGTATGTGAGTACATTTTTCGAAATAGCAAAATTATGAATATTATACTATATTTCTATTTTCGACTACCTGTAAAATTTCTCATATGTCTACTAAACCTTGCTGTAACGTCGAATAAATCACAGGTATTAAGCTATCGCAATCAACGTTAGATACAATGTAAATTGTAATATAACATGCATTTTTATTTTCGTTTTTTCTATTTGTTTATAAGTTTTGTTGTAACCGTCTTTCACTCATATTTTGGGTAAGATGGACCACTATCATTTTAACATTTATAAAACAAACGTCGCTACATATTTCAAAAATTACTTTTAATATTACGGTAATTAAATCTTATATGCAATATGTTTTGATCAAAAATTAAATTTGGAATTTAAATTTTGTATTAGAGGTTTCCATTTTTTTGTGTATTGTATTTTTCACAAATAATACGTATTAAATGTCCTATACTAAAGTGAATATTTCAAATTGTTTTCTTCATTATTTTATAAATTAATAAGTACAGAATCTTGAACATAAAATATGTATAGGTCATCTATTCCTTATGGCCATCTTATCTTAAACATTTAGGTAAAATGGCCAATGCTCATGTTTTGATATTTTAGTAATAAATAATTTTACTAAAGTATTTTCCTTTTAACTCTGGTGGTATTATGTACTGTAGGCTTCAATAAAGTAAACATGTAAATCAGAGTGTGTCAAACGCTATTAAGAAATAACAATAAGAAATGTATTTCTTTCATTTAAAAAAAGTATGGCCATTTTATCAGAGTTTACCCTATATACGTTAATTAACTCACATTACGAGCGTGTACTTTGTAAATAATATATATTTATAAATATTTAAAGTTCCATCGGAAGTGAGAAATCTTGTAGCGATTTCGACTTCAAGTTCGCGAGTCAAACTGACTTGGACTTCTCCCCAGAAACCAAACGGAGTAATAACTAAATACATGATTTTCTTGAAGGTATGCTAACATCATTCAGCAATTATAATTTATTAATTAACGAAAAATCAAATATTAGTCAATGCTTATATGGAAATCGACGGTAATCAATCTTCTATGGTTTCAAAATTATTTCAATAAAACAACGATTACTAAAAAGTTTAGTAAAGAGAATAATTTCCTTGATATATGATACGTTTATTTCATGATCAAATTTAAAAAGAAAAAGTTGATTTAATTATTGTTAGGTAATGGGATAATTAAATTAATTGAAACATACAAGTCAAAATATTTCAAAAATCATCAAGCAAAGCATTTTAACGTAAAATAACGTAAAATTTTCCTGCCACTTATTTACACGGTAAAAATATTTAGTACTTTAGTAGATTTTGATCGTGTAGAAATTTTTGTTTGAATTTTCAATGTATCTGTGTGTTTTAATTTAGCATATTGTCGTTATGTTATTTTTTGCATTTAGTTCATATATATACTATTTTTAAATGTTAAAACACATTTCTTTCAAGTATTAAAATAACACACTCTAAGTACACGCTTTAAGTGTTAAAATAATACAATATATATGTAACAAATTTTTTTTTAACATATTTTATGTATAAAGTGTATAAATAGATTGTATTATTTGTTAACATATTATCCTTGTATAATACTAAAACAAAAAAATGTATAAACTAGAATGTATAAACTGAGACATGTAAAATGTATTAAATTGAACACAAAATTTTTTACTGTGTAATAGTTTCTGATACTCTAAGCGACCGTTTTCTATTAATTTCAGATAGAAGAATATTTTGGATGTCGAGATTATAAATTGCACACAACGATTAACCATATTATTACGAGAACGATAAATACAACATTAATTACGATTTCAGAATTACATCCATATGCAAAATTTGATGTACAAGTTGTAGCACACAATTCAAGATATTACAGCAAATCAGCAAAGGCGACATTTCACACTGTGGCAACGGGTATGTAATACTAGCCGTTACACTATCATTTATTAGATAGTTATTATCTTTTTAATAATTTTTTCGTTAATCTGTAATAAAGCACACAAATTCATAATTAATTTTGAAATATAAGTTATTAAGAAGATTATGACACAAAATGTTTCTTTCTGTTCTTTCTGTGTAATCATAAAAGTATTTCTCCAGTATTATAGTAGTTAATTAATATTATAGTATAATTAATTTTAATATTTTTAACTAGTTTTATATAGAGTATTTAATTGAAAAACTATATACCTTGGAAAAACGAAAATATTATGTTGTTAATGCATGTACAGTGGGTTGCAAAACTTTTTAGGCACAATAAAGTTAGAGGTCACGAAACTGTCATGAAAGTTATTATCGACGAACTTTCTTACTTAATAATTATATAATTAATGTCGTCATTACTGGACAAACCCATCAATAATGGCTATCAATTTTGACAATTTGGTGAATTTTCAACTTCTTTATTGTGTTTAACTCATTTTGCAACCTGTTGCATATATACAGGCTCATGACGTTACATACAACAACCAACAATTTTACAGAGGTACCAGCAGTTACGTTTTCTCAATTGAGAATGCAAGATTGGATATTATCGTGGAAACCTCCTGAAAACTGCACGACGATTTTGGGGCCACTAAAAGTCACTAGAGTCGAAATACGGGGAATTAGTGACGCCGTTAAAAATTTCTATGTGATCAAAAATACCTCACGCAACTATTTGGATATGCATGAGCTATTATACGGTGCTGAACGATATGTTGTGAAAATTTTCGCTCTGAGAGACTACGGGCACCAAGTAAATTCCTCCGCTTATAAAGAATATGAGTTCGAAACACCGTCTAAAGGTGAAACTTGATATAAAATCTATGTGTCATATTTCATATTATATTTTTTTATAATTACAACATAATTTTTAAAATTATAGCACCGCCTAAAGTAATTAATCTGGACGTCGTGGAAGTTGATAATAACCAAATGATACACTTAAGATGGCAAAGTCCATCTCTACCTACCAACGGAAAATTGAACAATTACTTTGTCCGCTTATGTGATAAAAACACAACGGACTGTGTCCAGATATATGTTCAGCTAAATGAGACCTGCGACTTATGGGACAACTATATATGTAAAACTGTTCAAGGAACAAATAATCAACAAATTTATGTAAGCAAATGTCACTTTCGTTATTTGAAGCAATTATAATCACAACGATATAAATATTACACGAGAGAGAAAATCAGTTAGAAGACATATTGAAAATCTATAAAATGTAAAACATGTTTTTATAGGTTGTAGCCTATAATAAGGATGTCTCTCAACCAAGTCCTTTTGCTTTCGTCACAAAGGAAATGCTCAGTAATACAAGTAAGGCCATATGTTCTCTAATTACGGTAAACAACGTGTTGAAAATTCTACATGATCTAAATAATTGATTAAGTAGCTATTTAATCCACCATCCATGCTATTTAATCCATCCATGTATAATAAAAGGCTAGTAAAGCTAACGAATCAATATATGGAAGTGTTTCTGATCAATTTTGGCTGGCTGTAGATCTATAGAGTCGTTCGTGTACTTAACAATCATCTAAAAGTCTACTTTTTCTACATTTTTCCTTGCATATCATCTAAAATTTACCAATCCTGGCAATCATCTAAAATTATATTTATTCTTTACAATCATCTAAAAATCTACTTAAAATTCTTTCTAGCATATACAAGGGTTGAAAAAACTATTAGAGAGTAAACTTGTTCAAAATTGAATGTTTGGGAATACCTTAGTAGCCATGAAGTATATAAAGCAATGTATTTTTAACAGTTTTAAAGCACTTGATGCTCTTTCTCTGTCTCTGAACTAAAATTTTCTAAAATGATGTATCTTTAACATATCTTTCTCTAATTCTCACATAATATTCCTCTTTTCTTTAATTTAAATGCAATATCGTTAGTTATATTATATGAAAATTTTATGCAAGACATTTTATTTTAGACACAGTTTTTAAATTTTAACTCTAGATCAATTTTATCAAGTTCCTTCGAATGGTTTTATCAATTCCTGAAAAGAACACTTAAAGAACATGTCTCTTTTAGATGCAATATACCCAGTGTCCGAATTTAAATCTAGGGACAATCTTATGCACACACACACACATACACACACACATACGTAGAAAACTTCAAACTAAAGAGAAAAGTTCTCTATTATTTTTTAAACGAGCACGATTATTGTAATATTAATTAAAGAAAATATATTTTTATACACGAAAAAGATGCATTGAAATTACATATTACTGTAAAATAAATATATAACCCAGCGAGAAATAGTTCGTTTACCGACGTCAAATCGATATTGAAAAGTTAAAATCGTTTCGATATCAATCGACGAGTCAATTCTTACAGTGAAATTAATAAGTAAAGATCATGCACATGAGTAAATAAACATACAGCAAGTAAATAAAATATGTAGACACATAAAATAAATGTAATAACTAATTACTGTTTTGACTTGGGTGTACAGCTTGATCACTTTTTAGAGCTCGACGTACCACGCAATTTTACTCTCACGACTCGTGACCACGGTATAGTCGACATTCAATGGCTTCATCCTTGGAGGACAGGTGGTCATCTACAGTGCTTTCGCATCAAAGTGGAAGAAATTTCGTCAAATCTCAGAAATCGAGTGTTTCCATCATCCAAGATCGCGATACACGAATATTCTGTGATAAATTATATGCGTGAATATAGTAAGCGGTTATATCTGTCACCGTCAACAAAATATATTATTTCTATTCAAGCAGTGACGATGACGAACGTGTCCAGTAACACGACTTTCTTAGAAGTTAGAACGTCTTCAAGCATAGATTTGGATGGCAATTTGATCTTAGTGCAGGCGCCTCGTTCAACAATATTAATGTATACACCGAAAGTTTTGAATGATACATTTGATAGTATGTCCCATATTGTAATAAAGGGACCTAATCTCTGTGAGCAATATACAAAGCTGCCCAAGAATCTACTGGTACAGGCAGACAAGAATATAAGCGGTGATCATGTTTGGCAAGTTGCTAAGATTCCGGTATGTACAATTTGAATACTAAACTTTCGCTCTAATTATATAATTTATACAATCTCTATGGATGATTGTATTATGGTTGTGTCATATGTGTGTGTTATGAGTATTTATAGTATAAATGCAAAACATAATAATGTTAAAATCCTTTGCTCATGAGAAACATAACTAAAATATACACTGAAATGATCAAATATATTCAATATAAAAACTAATTTTACCTTATCTATTGCGTTTACTTGTTAACAGACTAATAAGCTGGCCGGTGACGTATTCACGATTGACGGTCCTGCGAATTTTACGAATTGTCCACTAAAGCATGGAGAGTTATATGAAATAATATTTATAATAACAGAGAGCGACGTTTCTGGTGAACGGGTCGTATTTACGAGTGGAACGTCGATTCATCTGGATTGACAATGGATCTACGTGGATGGATTTACCGCAAGTGTTTCGTGAGTAGATTTAAGGATTCTTAACATCAAAGTGTAAATTATATTAATGATGTAATCATTCGAGCACGAAAGAATTTCGCTCGCCGCGCGTGTGAAAAAATAATATAAAGGAATATAAAAAATATAATCAAATATATATGTAGGATTGGATAAGTTAATTTTGGTTTTTAACTAAGTTAAGTTAAAAGTTTGTTCGCTATAAATTATTTGAGTTTATGTTAAAAGTTATTCAAATAAAATGTTAACTCAGGTAAAAGTTAAAAAGTTAAAAAAATTTTGAAATTACTTACGGCAAACTTAATTATCTAAAACTATATATGTATTTTTTAATTTCATAATTAGTCTTTAAATTTAGCTTAAATTTATGTAAAATAATGAAAGTATATTCTTATTTAAAAAAAATATTTTTTTTTAAATAATAATTTATACAATAACCTACATATCGCAAAAGAATAATGGGGCTCATGCAATAAGTTAGGGTGTGTCCATGGTATATATTTTCCACATAACGCATATCACATAACCAATCATCTTTCTATACTTTTAGAAGTTCCAACAGAAATACCAAACGTGGTAATTCATTATTTACATGATATGTGGAAAATATGTGCTATGAGATTTCGCCCTTATAGCACAAATCTCTAAAAGACTTCTTAAAGTGTTCCAAAAGAGTTCCCAAGTCCGCAAGAACATTTTTAGAATTCTTTAAAAAGTATTCTTTTAAAGATTTGTGCTATATGATTAGCTTTCGCAGACCAGCGTGATAAGCAATACAATACGTAATATGCTACGCGTGATATCCAATGAACGTACTGCTTTTCCGATAGAGTTGCACGCTCATTGGGTATCACACGTCGCGTGTCGCAAATTGTTTTGCGCATTGAGCTGGCTGCAAGAGCCATTAGAACGAGATCAATGATTTTTTTGGCTACACTGCTGAACTGGTGCAATAAGTTAGAATGAGACAAGTATATTTTGTCTGAATTACTTACTTACTAGGCTAGAAACACATAGAAAAATTTAAACAGTAATACGTAAGCAGTAAACAAATTGAGCAATCGCAGTTGATTACTTTAGACCGTAAAGAGAATAGTCGATTGTGATTGGTTAATTTCTTTACTGTTTACGTCTTATTGCTTAAGTTTTTCTATGTGCCATTAGCTTTAGTCCCGATGTACAACAGGTGTAATAAGCTTTGAGTCGTAAGAAATTGACTAATCACAGTTAACTTATAGAAGAATAATTAATTATGATTGATCAATTTCTCTTACAGCTTAAAGCTTACTACTCCTATTATGGCTGCGTTCCAAAATTCACTGCCAGTTCTGAAAATTTGTAGTTTCATGTATACTATAGAATTTCAATATTGGCAGTGAAATTTGGAACGCTGCCTATAAATTGAATCTTACAGTGTTGGAAGTTTCATTCTATTTTTCTTTGGCATGAACAATAAAGATAAAATGCTTATAGTGTAGTAATTGTGAATTGAACCACAACCATATTCAGATCGTTTATTAAAAATTATCTTCATTTTCAGATGCTTCGTAGCCAATGAAACAATCCGTTCAGCATCTAAAAATTAATTTGAAACGATCATAAATATAAGATTTGGTTATGAATATTGTTCTTATATATCTGTCTGTTAAAGTGGCCGATAATTTTTACGCAACTTTAATATTGATGAAATAAATTAATTTAACTATAAAAAGTAAAAAAGTAAAAGTTAATGCGTAAAAATTAATTAAGTTTAAGTAAAAAATTAACTTATTTGAGCTTAACTAAGTTGAGTTAAAAGTTACCAATTTTTTAACTTTTAATTTAACTTTTAACTTTTTTAAAAGTTACTACCCAACTCTACATATATATATATATATATATATATATATATATATATATATATATACTCGCATACACATGTATATACATACGCATTTTATGTTTCATATTTTTTATATATTCTACACGTTTATATTTATTTACAGTAGACTTACAAGCTGACTGATGCTATTCATTTTGATTGATGATAATCATCTCACGAGCTATTCTTCACAAAAGAGCTATAATAAAATGAAATATTTACTATTAGAAAGGGGTCTGGCAAACAGAAACGATATATTCATGAGAAGAACATTGATCTACTTTGGTGATGCTTTAGTTAGATGTTGTAAGGTATGAATCGTCTCTCTCTCTCTCTCTCTCTTTCTTCTTCTGCCCTTCTCTTTCCGCATCATATCACACCATATAATTATTATTATTATTAATTAGCAGTTAATTACTGCATATATAAATATTCTGTTTGCTTGTATAGTATTGTATTCATCGTAATAAACATTATAACACATAATATTCAATTTTGTTGGTCTCTTATTGTTTGATTACAGTGAAACTTTTCTGAAGGTTCATACTTGTATTAGTGAATATGTTCGATTGGCTGACTCGGATTCGGATTCGATGCTTCAAATGTTCAGTTGTTCGTGTTATATTAGAAAATCTAAACCCACAGATATAAATCGAATTTGAAGCGTTACATTTTCCCGCTATCCAAATAATCGGATATCCGGATGATGTCAGTTTTGTATAAATATCGACCCTTAATATCCACCTGTCATTGACATCTATAATGTTATAACAAGTCTCGACTAGTTCCACGTTCTCATAATTGATGGACTTTTATTAATTATTTATAACTCTGTAATATTAATTGGTTTTTCATAGACTGTCAAATTCAAGTTTCTCAACTGTTTGTTTCGATTATTGCTTCTCGCAATGCGAGAATACACACACACACACACACACATACTGGATGTCTCAGACCTCCATGATAACTCTTTGTGAGAACGGATTAAGGTAAGTAAGAAAGTTCTGTGCTGTTTTGCGATATTCGCAATAATAGTCGAGATATTAATTAAAAAAGATTGGTGAATGATCACGCGCGATATGGTAGATGAGCTGCAGTGGCGCCGTCTGCCGTTGTATACTTATACATTAAGTCAAACTGAACAAAAAGCTCCTTTACCATTTTGCAAATGACCACATAAATTTTTAGATATTAATTAAAGAAAATTTGTGCATTATGGTATATAATCATATATGCAACAATTTTTTTTAATATTTAAAAATTACGTTTTCACATTGGTCATCATGGAGGTCTGAGACACTCTGTGTATATATAATATTTTCTCTCTGTAGAAATTATAGGAAAATTCACGTTTCTGGAAAGATTTCCATAATTTTATTGCATTATATATATAGAGATTTCCTCAAAATGAATATCGGCATTACAAAAGTGTAAATGAACAAATAATAACAAAATATAGAAAAAATCTCGGTGAATACGAACCATGCGTATGTATAAAACAAAGTGTGTATATCAATGGCGAGACGATAGTGACGAGCGTTTCGTTTCGCCTCACTGCGTGTCCGAACGAGATGACGTCGAGGGCGTCTTAGTCTTATTAATCCTTTGTTTGCGACAAAATTCGCGGAGACTGATACGTTTTTTATTTCGACCGCCGGTCTCAAACTCGACGTCCGTCTCATCAGATTGATCGTACACGTCGGCTCTTCGTTTCCGCGCAGATCTCAACGCCATCTCTTTCCTGCTTAGTTTCCGCGCGTTCCTTCTGCGAGCCTTCATTCCGCGCCTGTTGGTCTGCGGCTCGTTTTGTCGCTCGGCGTTTTCCTGTTTGGAACCGCTCGCCCTCTCGGAATCGTCGCAGGTTATCCATCTGTGTGTGACCTTGTCGTAATATTGACTTACGCACTCCATTCCTGGAGAAAGCGGATCGATTCTTTGCCTCGGATAGGCGATATCGGGAAGGTCTCGCGTGGAATCCGTCGCCTGCGCTCGCGTGGAGGGCGACGCCAAATACTGGGTTATATCGTCGTGAAACTTGTCGACGAACTCGTCCCAAAGCAAATCGCTCGTCGCTGTTGGGAATCGTACGGAAAACGTGAAGTTTTTGAATCTCTGCTTCGGGCTTTTCTTGCGCTTCGATACAGCAGGATATGTCTTTATGTCTTTCTCGCGATCTGAAAGAGCAATTTGCGCATTACGTTTTCACAATAGTTTAGGAGCGCACGAACGTAGTTACGGAAAAATATTTTTCTTGGTCGCTATTGATTAATAAGAATAACATTAAGACAGACGTCTAATGCGAGAAGCAGTAATTAAAGTAAGAACAGCGTTAGAAGATACGTCAAGGAATAAACATCGTATTTTAATCTAAGGAAAGATGTTGCTGTTTGATTATTGGCAATAATGAAGTCGAGTTTCGGCTTAATAAAATTCATATTGTATCATATAGGAAAGAAACATATAGGAAAGAAACATAATAAAAAATATTAATTATTCTGGGTAGGAAGAAAGGTGATAAGGACTCAGCAAAACCAATTACGTTCTTACGAAAAAAGTTTCAAGAAAATCATAAAAATAAATAGTAATAGCATTAGCATAGAATATTGAAATATTATTATGAAATTATCATAATATTTTCTGTCTCTCTTTCTCTCTCTCTGTCTCTCAGTTAAAAGAATTATTACAAAGCTATTTCTAAAATACAGTTACATTCCCAAGTTGCAATAGTATTTTTGTTTTTAACTATAAAAACTTAACAAAAAATTATTAGCGACATTAATGACGATCAAAATGTGTATTAAATATTATTCCAATTATATATAATTTATATTATTCCATATATACTTTCTTTTTATTTTTTAGACATTGATCAATATTAAGTTCCATTTCTGAATGAAAACTGTTATATAATTAAAAAAATTAATTATATAATTAAGGAGTAAAATTTCAAAATATAACTAACTAAAATAATTTCAAATAATTTTTTAATTGTTTTGTAGTGGTGTTATAATAATTTCACAGCGGCGTTCCAATATTTGACAATAGAATCTTAATGGTTTCTCAGTAGCGTTCTTAGCACTTTCTCTATAATTTTCAAGCATCTTTTCTTTTTATATTTCCCGTATAATTATTTTTCGCACGAGTAGACGTGGTTTCCAGATTAAGACGACATGCATGAAATGTTGAAAATACAAATGTGTCATTTTTTCTCGTCATGAAGTATAAACCTCTCTTGCGCATCTTTTCATGATATTATCATGATATTATCATGAATTCTTGAATTCTGTTAGCTTTCTCTATATGACGTGTGATATAGTTTCAATGGAATTTCCTCTTTCGCGAGAAATACGTACGGAATATCGGCGTGTCATCGTCCGTTTCTTCCGAATTAACGTTTTGCGATTTCGAGAATCGCAGATTTGAAATCGGCAGCAACTTTTCGCTCTGTATGAGATTATCCTTTGCCGGAATTAAGCGTAATCTTCGAGAAGATTGAAGAATCGGCGATTCGAGCAAAGGTTCGTACGTGATCGGTGCGTCACGGACTTTCTCCGGGGTGCAGGGATCCTCAAATAAATTGCAGCATACGGGAGTGTCATCCTGGCATTCCTCGTGAGTATCCTTCAAACTGAATTTTTGTGAGTTTACCGAAGTCCTTTTGACTGACTCGTCCGATTTGGTCTCCCATTCGCTGTCAGAGTCCGCTAAGCGAGTCACCACTCGTCTCTTTTTACCGGTGGTTCCTTTGCGTTTCTCTATTATGTTTCAAGAACGAATTAGTATTCGTGATTTGGGTACCTTAATTTAATTCAACTTACAAAAAGTGTTCTATTGACATTTGAGATCATTATATCTTTATGAGAAATTCTACTCTCTTAAATCAACTGATGTAAATCGCATCTCTGACTATTGCACGCTTTGTTTTAATACATAGACGCCGGGGCAGTTTACATTATATGCCGCATATATGCGCGCCCCGATATCTACAGGTTAATAAGAAAGATAATTTTCAAACTATTAATTTTCAAGAGTTAAGAATCTTAATTTACTTATCAAAAATTTGCAAAAATTCACGGGATCAATTAATCATATTCACGTCTTCAAAGATGAGATCAAACAATTATTTGAAAAGTGATGAAAAGTAGAGAATGGTGGATTATTTGAGCGAATATGACGTGCATTGCATTTTGTTATTATTAACAAAAGAAAAATTGTTAAAAATCTGATGAGCTTTTCTCTGAACAGAATATAAAAACTGCTTGTAAACTTGAAATCCCTACGAGAATAATGCAGTAATGCATTAATTGCGATTTGTATTAATTCATTACTCACTTAGTGTTCTCTGCGGTCGTGGTCTTTTTTTAACTTCTCCTGCACTTGAGGAAGAGCCCGTGTCAATCCCAGATAAAGATATATTATAATGTTTCAGGGTTACGTTTTTGTACGGCGTACTGCTCTTGTGCGAATAGCTAATAGTGCGATTGTATCGTCGCATTTTTTTGGAAGTGTGAGATATTTGAGACATACTGCTGACTCATATACTGAAGAAAAAGTCTTGCAATAGTTAACAAATGCATTCAGTTGAGCACTTCAGTGCAACATTTAATAATTAGTATCAAATATGTACTGAGAGAAAAAATATCGAAAAAATAAACAATATTTATTCCAGGTGGGTACTATATTTAACTCTAAATTCTTTTGTTTAAATAGAATAAACAATCACTTTCATAAAAAGCAACGATTTTAGGAAAACGTAAATTTTCTCAATTGAAAGCAAATGTTTCCTTAATTAAAACATTTATATATACATTAAACTATTAATGTAATATATTAAATACATTATATTTTACACTCACACACACACACACACAAGTCTATTAAAAATATAATATATTAAATATATATTAGAGATATATTAGTAAATATGTGTTAGTAATAAATATTGTTTATTTTTTAAATATTTTTCTTCTCAGTGTAGTAATAGTCACCAAACGTCTGGTAATAATTACAAAATTATTAGTCAAACAAATTCTTCATTTAGTTAAACCAATTAAATTTTTTGGTAGAAAATATAAAATAATTTGATAATTACTAAATAGTTGGACAATTACCAGAATATATTGTTACGTAATATGATAGGCATTACTAAGCAATACGATTTTATTTAATAAATTGTTTAGTGATATATACTACATAAATTGATAATGAATTGAAGAGAATCATAAAGTCTTAGCAACAGATACCAAGTCTCCCAGCAAACACCAAATAACGGTAATATTATTTCAATTACAATTATTTCATTATTACAATTTCCTACTCAACAATATAGATGCAATATAACATGTGTATTATATAACATATAACTGCTACATTGTTGAGTGGAGAATTATAACATTGACATAATATTATCGTTAGTTGGTGTTTGCTGGCCTTGCTGATATCATCTATAAATTATTTAATTATTTAATTATATTTAACTATAAGCGATTAGTAGAGTAACTACTTCACCAAAGCATCTGACAATCTATTATCCAAGCTTGAGGATTATTACCAAGCTTTTCCTTCAGTGTACCGAATATGCGTGATTAAGTTATTCACATTCCGCTTCTGAAAATCTATCTCGCGCGATTAAAGTTTTCGTCTTCGATACTTCTGCCTAGTTGAGAATCTTTCTCTCTACTCATTCTGCGAGCCATCACCGTCGAACGTTGACTGAAAGCTTCAGGGTAAATACATCGTATTCGTGCGCAACTCGTACACAACTCGCACAAAAAGCGGTAACAGCGATCTCCTTCAAAATTTCTTGTAGCGAACAAGCGACTCGTATGGGACCGTGACTGAGCTGCTCGTTGACACCAAATATTTAGCTTCTGCCGGGAGGGGTTTGAGAGGAGGAATAAACCCACTCCATTAAATCTTCGTAATTAATTTCTCAAGAAGCATTCTCGATTCCTTCGAGTACCACAATTATCTTTGGTTCTAACAGATAAATATTTGATCGCAGACTTGGGTTCACAAGCGTGCGATGCGCGCCGCGTCATGCATGATGCATCGATAATCTGAATCGCCGCAAGTTCAGTTCGTTGCGGAACTATTAACGGAGCGTCGCTTCGTACACGGCAAGTAGTCCCGTGCTTCCCGCATTTCGCTTCGCCGAAGACGAGTCTCGTGCACGAATCATCACCGGTGAGTGCTGCAGAACGTCGTAACGAAATATCGCTGGACAGGCGTCGAAGACGAACATGTCGCGTCGGGAACGTCGAGTAAAATATCACGAACTTAACGAGGTTATATCAGGTCGAAACATACAAATCGTTGTTCTCTACTTTTCCCCGACTAATCAGCAGCTTCTGCAGCGCGAATTATTATGTTGAATCTGCTACAAGTAAGTGCATCGTGCGTTTATTACGTCGAAATATCAAGAGAGAGAGAGAGAGAGAGAGAGAAAGAGATGCCGGAATGTCTCACGAAAAACTTCGAGAGTACCGAGTGAAGTTCGCGCGTCATTTTCAGGAAACGAAATTGCCGCGGTGTTCACTCAGTTTTCCAGGGGATCATGGCTGCGACGTCCGACAAGCCGTCCCGCGTTTTGACGCGTCGAAGATGAGTCTCGTGCGCAAATCGTCGCCCGAAGTGTCTGACGGTGAGCTTTGCGGGTTCGCGACAACGAAGTGTCGTTTAGCAACCGTCGGGAGTAAACGGCTCGCGGGTAACGAGTGAAGCCGCGCGTCCGTTGGATCACGGCGATTCAAATCGTCATCACGAAATGCCGGAAATCTCCAGGAGTGCCGAAAATACGTTGCCCGAGCTGGTTGTGACAAGACAGTCGCGGAATGGCATCGTTGAAGGAGCATCGAACGAACTGTCAGAGCTTAACCTTTGCGTGCTCTACACCTTTGATCGCCGGCGAAAAGTCGGTAAGTACCGACAGAGTATCCGCGACACGTAACGTCTCTGCGATGAAAATCAGGCTCTATTGAATAACACATATATCGTCTTTGTTCTCACTCCATACTCACGGAGTAAGGACAGAATTATATGCTTGTGTCAACTTGTACTACGAAATGAAAAGCAGTCGTGTGCTCCACTCGTGAATTTAAATCGGGCACGAAGAGACTTCTTCAGGATATAAGGGAGGGATCAAGTTGCACACACGAGTAGGATTTAAGATAAAATTGGCGAATAAAATTTTTGAGAAGCGTCGCTATCTGTAGTTTGAGATAGACGCCAGTTTTTTCCACGATACGTTGAATAATCGATATTTGCATTAATAATATAATCTTAATTTCATCAAGTAGGATTAAGTTTCTTATAAATTTGCGTGACCATTAATTCATTGCGACCGTGAAAATATTCAAACTTTGAACTTTGATTTTCAAGTCTTTATCGACTTTTCAAGTCTTTACCGACTTTTCAAATCTTTACCGACGTATAAAGCACAAAGGCGCCCACAGATGACGCCTCAAGTATGCTATTCGGCGAGACACGTGCATGTTTCATTCAGGCGTTGTGGCCATGATTGAATGAAAACACTACTGTCTCCGTCTAAACACGTCGATACGCTTTTGCTCGTTGCAAGTGCAAAATGTGCACACGTGTGTGGCCGTGAGAAAGATTTACGAATTCCCTTTAATTATGTTTTCTACACTTGGCCCCTCTACGGGATTCAGTTTTGCTTTTGAGCGCAAACGATTTAAGATACGATTGAAGAGAGCGAACATAACCTCGTCCCACTCGCAACTGCACTCTGCTTCGTGGCTTACAGTACTCCGGTGTACTGTGCATGTGTTGTCGGAGGTTATGTGTTTCTCGGCCGACACGAAGAGGTTAGGTACAGTCGTGGTATGTCGCGGAGCGTACAGCGCGAACGATGAACAAGTTGTTGTCCACGCCGATCAGGGAGGTTAGTCAGAGGATCTACGGTGGCACGGTGCGGCCTTCCGAGATCTGCGAGGCGTCCGTCAGGTTGACATCGGTCGTCAAACCTCTGAACGCCTACACCGCCGTGACAGGCGATGTCGCGCGAGAACAAGCGCGCGACGCGGACGTGAGGCAACAGGGGAACTCGTTGTTGGGCCAACTCGACGGCATCCCCGTCGCCATCAAAGACAATTACTGCGTCAAGGGTAAACCTACGACCTGCGCATCTCGTATGTTAGCCAACTTCTCGCCCGGCTACGATGCCACGGTCTATGAGAGGCTCAGGAAGCAGGGCGCTGTCTTGATCGGCAAGACTAATCTCGATGAATTCGCCATGGGCTCAGGCACTATAGACTCGATTTATGGGCCGACAAAGAATATATGGGGCTCGCAGGTGTCGTCGCAATTCTATTCCTGCGAGTCTGCCACTTCAAAGCTCACTTCAGGGGAAACGCAGGAGAAAGATACTTGGCACATAGCAGGTACATTGTTGACAAGCTGATAGCGATGACTTTGTGTGTCTTAAGCTTGTTTTGCTTAGGAGAGGATTCAGTACAAATTTTCCATTTGTTTCCATAGAATTGCAAGTGCTTCTGAAATATTTTTATTTACAATTTATTTACAAAATTCTTTTACATAATGTTTGAAGTCTTTCCATGCATCGATATTTGTACTTTCACTTTGTACAAGCATTTGCAGTTCTGTGCAACCAAATAGAAAAACAGTGCAAACTATGAACCTACATTATATCCATGTCTCCTTACGTTTATTTAATTTAAGATTGTTTCTTTATTTGGTTACAGAGTTGCAAATGTTTTTGGAGAGAGATAAATTTTAAGGAATGAGAAGACACGAGAATATTATATCAAAACCAAAAGTTTTTTTATTTACAAAATTTTTCTCATTTTTTATACAATGTTTTGTAACTTTTCATGCATATTATTTATATTTTCAGTTTGTAAAAGCATTTGTAATTCTGTGCAACTAAATAGGAAAATAAAGCAAACTATGAAACTATGTCGGTATCCAGTATCTCTTTAAGTTTGTTTGACTTAAGATTGCTTCTCTATTTGACTGTATAAAATTGCAAATGCTTCTACAGAACGAAATTACAAGTGTCAATGTGTAAGAAGACAAATATTGTATCAGAACTAAAAGTGTTTTTATTTACAAAATTTATTTTAATTTTTTATATCTTTACACAATATTTTATATCTTTCCATGCATTAATATTTGTACTTTTAGTTCGTAAAAGCATTTGCAATTCTGTATAAATAGAAAAACAGTGCAAACTATGAAATTACATTATGTCAATATGCAGTTCTCTATAAGCTTATTTGATTTAAGACAGTTTCCCTATTTGGTTGCACAGAATTACAAATTATCTAGGAAATGAAATTACAAATATAAATGCATGAAAAAACACCAAATATTGTATCAAAATCAAAAGAGTTTATTTACAATTTTTTTTTATACAATGTTTAGTATCTTTCCATGCATTGACATTTGTACTTTTATTCTGTAAAAATGTTTACAGTTCTATACCACCAGATAGGAAAACAGTGCAAATTATACTATGTTAATGTCCAGCATCTCCTTATGTTTGTTTGATTTAAAATTGTTTCTCCATTTGATTGCATAATATTGTAAATGTTTTTATAGAGTGACATTACAAATATCACTGCATGGAAAAATACCAAATATTGTACCACAATAAAATTTTTCCACTTTTTTATTCTTGACACAATATTTTTGCATCTTTCTATGCATTGACATTTGCACCTTCATTCTGTAAAAGCATTTGCAACTTCATGCAGCTAAATAGATAAACAGTGCAAACTATGAAACTGCGTGTCTAGTATCTTCTTAAACTTGTTTGAAGTATTTCATCTTGAGGATGATCTTGAGCATTGATTCTATGAAATGAAATGCGTGGATCTTAGGTGGCAGTAGCGGAGGATCTGCAATCGCAGTAGCCACAGGTACCTGCTATGCGGCCCTGGGCTCTGACACCGGTGGTTCCACTCGCAATCCTGCGTCTTATTGCGGCCTGGTCGGGCTGAAACCGACTTACGGTCTGGTGTCTCGTTATGGTCTCATTCCGCTGCTGAATTCTATGGACGTGCCTGGTATTCTCGCGAGAACGGTGGACGACACGGCGTTGATCTTGAACGCTATAGCCGGACCTGACCCATTGGATCCCACTACTGTGCAGAGAAAGTACCAGCCGATTACTTTGTCCGAGACGATAGATGTTAGCAATCTCAATATCGGTATACCGAAGGAGTATGGGGTTCGTGGTATAAGCGAGGAGGTGAAGGCGTGTTGGGATGAGGTCTCCCGTCACTTGGCGGAGGCGGGAGCGAATATCATGCCGGTGTCTTTGCCGCACACCGACTACTCCATAGTGTGTTACTCGGTTTTAAATCGATGCGACGTGGCCAGCAATTTGGCCTGCTATGACGGTATCGAGTACGGTCACAGAGCCGACGAATGGAGCACTATTCATGACTTGTACAAGAAGAGCAGGTCGGAGGGCTTCAACGACGTGGTCAAAGGTCGCATATTGGTCGGTAATTATTTTCTATTAGCCGAGAATTACAACGAGTATTATATGAAAGCGATGAAGATGCGCCGACTAATTACTCAAGACTTTGACGTTCTGTGGGATAATAATGTGGATCTCCTGTTGACGCCGACTACATTGACTGAAGCCCCCCGTTATGAGGATTTCGTGTTGTTGGACAATCAGACGCAGTGTCTGATTCAGGATCACTGTACGCAACCGGCGAACATGGCCGGTCTGCCCGCGATCAACGTGCCGATTAGACTATCTCGCGCAGGTCTGCCTTTGTCCTTGCAATTAATGGCACCGTCTTTCCACGAGCACAAGCTACTCACCGTGGCAAAGTGGATCGAACAAACGGTGCGGTTTCCGCGACTCGAATTAAAGGACTCGTGTTTGCTCGAATAAAGTAGGAAAACAGATCTTTCTTTTAAAGATAAAAGTACCAATGCCTGGACATATGCTTTATCTTAGCTTATTTTGATATTTAAATATACATATTTAAATGTTTAACATAAAAAAATATATATATTGAATATATACTACGTTAAAATATATTCTACGTTAAAAATTTAATTATCTGTATTCAAAAACCAAAATAATGTCTTAGGAGAAAAAATATCTAAAAAATAAAAAAAATCGGTAGATATTAATAAAATATTTACTTAAATATAAAGTTTTTTAAGTAGAATAAACGATTCATAAAAAGTTAAGATTTTAAGAAAATATATATTTTCTTATTTGAGAAATATATTAATATAAGTAAATATATATTATTGTTCATCGAGAAAATATTAATATTTTTTATTCCTTAGATACTTTTTCTCTCAGTGTATATATATTTTATGTTGAAAATTTAAATATTCGTATTTCAAGACTAAAATAATAAGGATTCTCAAGTTTAAATATATATCCGGGAATCGATGCTTTTACTTTATCGTGTCTTTTGATTTTGTAGTCACTCTATTCCGCACCCCACACGAATTCGTTTTTCAATTTGCGCGTACGCGTAAAACGTAATTGATCGTTTCTGAACTACCAGTTCTTACAATTTTGCACATACATTCGCTGGAATATTGGAGTATTAGGCGTGCAATTAGGGCGAGAATTAGTACGCAAAGATTCTTTGGCGCAACGGCCGTAACTCTGAGGCCGTAGCGCAAGCAAATTATATTCCGGTGCCGTTGGGCGTATCTGAAATTCTATTCGTCGAGTAACGGTGTGTTCGCGTTCGTAAGCAAACGATCCTCGTCTTACTGCGTTAGGTCGTAGCGCTCGTCGCAAACGAAGTACGAAAGGCGAAGTACGAAACTGCGATTCTCATCGCATCGTTAAATTAATTCGACGTCGGTACAATTACCGATTACGGCACGCAAGACCCAAGTATAACAAACGATTTTTCCAATGTGATAACATACATATATCTGCTACCGTGTAAATAAAACACGTTATTGTGAGGAGAACAATTCACTTCTTGAGAGACTTTATTTCCGACGCTCACGGTCATTCTTATATCGAGGCTTTACACATTTCGTGTTTACCGTGCGTTCGTCTTAATTCATTTCTCGCACCAATATATCCTCATTCCTCGTCGACTGCGCCGTTGCAAGTTGCCAAGATGTTGAACAACGAGGTTCTGATATTTCGAGCCTTATTATTCCCCGGAGAGCAGCCGAGGGTGATTCGGATGACGAACGAACAGCTAACACCGCGTGCGCTTACAAAATCCATTGATTCGCGTGGCGCCTTCGGTAATTAGATCGTTGTGACATTTCGGCCTGGCCTATTGTGTACGTCCCCGATCGAAAAAGCTAACGAGAACACTGTGACACGCGCCTCATTGTTCGCCTCCGCGTGCAATTCGTTACTGCACAGCGATTCGCATATTTTATTATCAATATTATCACGAGAGAGCCACTTTAATAATCGTTATCACCAAAGTTCAATGATCGCGAATTGCCTGACGAAATTTTTGCAATAAAATATTGCATGATAATTGTAAACTGCAAGAAGAATGGGAAGGTTACATTGGATGAAGTGAGTTTTCCTTCAATATACAAATAAATGACTGTATTAAGGCTCCTGGGGAGTCGCATCATCCATCTCTTTTTAATGACGTCAGAAGCAAGAAAATGCATGCTAAAAATTCTTGCAAAATACGTCGAGATAAACAGATATATTCACAAAACGACATTTGCAATCGATTAAATATACCTCTAAAATACTCCGTACACTTTCCTTTTGTTCTAACAATCAACAGATAATTATAAAATAAATGTGACGTGCAATCGTCTTTTCTAACCTAATTTCCTCATTATCTTGTCATATTAATTTTCCGATTATCTATTGATTTTTACGGAGTATTTTAGAGGTATATTTAATCGATTGCAAATGTCGTTTTGTGAATATATCTGTTTATCTCGACGTATTTTGCAAGAATTTTTAGCATGCATTTTCTTGCTTCTGACGTCATTAAAAAGAGATGGATGATGCGACTCCCCAGGAGCCTTAATAGTTGTCGCCTGAGACTTTATCTCACGTAAAATACTTAGATTTTTATTCAGACTTAGGTCCGTATTAATAGTCGTTACTTGAAACTTGCTTCAGGCAAGATTTTAATTCAGAGTTAGACCTGAGCTGAATCGCGATTGCAAATGTAATGTCACATATATTATATAATTTAAATAAAAAATTCTCATTTAACTCTAAATTTGAGTATTTCACGTAGGACAAGTTTCAAGTAAGGACTATTAATACGAATCTTACATCCAATTTTTTCAATTGAAAATTATGATGTATGTGGCATTTACTTTTAAAATCGTAATTCAACTAAAAAATTCTCGTCTAACTTTGAATTCGAATCTGAATATCTCACTTGAGAGGAGTTTAAAGTAATAATTATTAATACCTGTCTTAGCAATATCAGCTAAGTTTCAGTGAGTGACTTAAACTTGGCTAAAGAGCTAATCGTGTTGCTGTTATTTTGCTAAAAGTTTGCTAAGAATTGGTTATCACAGCTAAAATGCATTCGCTGTGAGACACAAATTTATTAGTTGAAATTTAAAACGTACATTTGTTTGTCAAATGTCTAAGAAAGTGGTATCGAGTCACAAGTTAATCTCGAGTATTTGACTTTATAAGGAATTAATTTATATTAAACAGAGCTCGTTTTACCGCATTGCGAATATTGATTGATTAATTTTCTTTCATTAATATCGCAATAATAACCATGGCAGAATAATATATAACTTTTTTATTTAATTTAAAAAATTTAAGTTGTATTCGAAAAACAACAATTTTGTTTTTTCACAATATCTTGAAATTGAACAAAAACTCATGAAATTGAACAAAACAGTTTTTGTTATTTAGACCAATTATTTTGCAAATCATCATGGTAATTATTCCTTTACTCTGATCCATAACAATTACGAATGAAAATGTTGCGTGTTGCTCGCGTTTGCTGTGTTTTAAAGGGTCAGATCAATGTAATGCTTTGAAAAGAAACATTTTTAAGAATTAATTTTGCGAAAATGGATCAACTGAATGTTTTAAAACATTATATTTTAATTAACTGTTAAATTTTATATTATTATTTTTGTTATTAAAAAAAACGTATAAATAAACATGCAGTATGAATCCAAATTTCATATTGTAGAACGAAAATTTAATTGAATATCCAAATTGAATATCCAAATAAAAATTGAATATCAAAATTTCGCATTTTTTAAATTTTCACTACTAAAATTAAGTTTGATGTTTTACTGAATTTTTTAGGTTCATTTTCCAAACTACAAATATATTATTTAAGAGATTTTTTAATTTTTTGATCACAGGTCACTAGAACGGGCGTTATCTTTCTCGCCAATTGCAACGATATTTTGTGTAGTCGTGAATTCAGCCTCACATACTGCATATTTATTTATAAATTTTTTTAAATAACGCGAATAGTAATATAAAGTTCAATAGTTACTTAATTAATATACAATATTTCAAAATATTCGGTTGATCTATTTTCTCAAAATTAATTCCCAAAAATACGCTTTTTTTCCGAGCGTTACATTGACCTGACCATTTAATCGATCACGACTTTCAACTCTTCCAAATAAGCAACGAAAAAGCATGTATACGTATCAAAGAGATTTCTGTTCATTTCATGTCGCTACGTCGACTTATTCGCGAGATGTAGTCGTTTAAAGTTGCGGCATGTACATCAGGTTTGGTCTCAAAATTTGCGCTCGCGCGACACTCGCACTTGTCTTTGCGCCGGCGCGCTGCTTGCTACTGTAGTGAGGTGAACGACCGCGTGGTCGCGGCAGACATATTCTTATCTGAGCCGCGGAGTGGGGGTAGCGCGCGTGCCGTCGCGTGTTGCGTAAGGTAACTTACCGGAAGCAACAGTCGCATTCCGCAGTCCATTCACGCGCCGCGTCGTAGCTTGCTGTCGCGATAACGCCATATGATCTGAAACGCGGATCGATAAAATCGTCAATAACTCCACTCGTAGACGTCGTAGCGACTTGAAAGAAGGATCATTGGAAAGGGGAAACTGCCGCGCTTCCAGTGAACGTGAAGTCGTCTTGTGGAACGGAGATCAGGCGGCATTATCATATGAGTATGAAACATATTAATTTGTGCGCTAAAGTGAATATTAACCTATGTTAAAAATCAATGGAAAACCTTGGTTCGGACTGATAATACGAAGCGTCAATTCTGTGTTTTAAGCACAAAGTGTAATTTCGAAGGAAAGCGAAATGATAATAGCGGCTTTCTATTTAGCAGTAAATATTTTGAACGCCGACATTCAAATAGTTGATAAATTTATTTGCGATAGCAATGACATTAATTTTTCTAGACATTTTTTAGACATTTCAATAACACATCTACACTGAGAGAAAAAATATCTAGAAAAAAATTGATTTATTAATTGATTTATTATTATTAATAACAAGTTTATTATATTAAAATTACATACTTACGTAAATCTAAATTATTTTATTTACGTAGAATAAACAATTGCTTTCACGAGGAGCTAAAATTTTAAGAAAATCTATATTTTCTTATTCGAGAAATATTTGATATTGGTTTTATAAAATAAATATGTTATATTAGTCGAGAGAGAGTATCGAGTAAATATTCTTTTATTTCTTAAATATTTTTCTCTCAGCATATTGCAGTTATATTTTACCTGCTGCGGCTAGTCCATTCTCTGCATGAGGCAAGGTCAATATTTCTCTCTCCTTGTCCTGAAATAAAGCTTGCTTCTGCTGCCTCCGGTATCACCTATTCACGCGGAAGTTTTCATTGGAAATGTTGGAGTAAATAACAGGGAGACATTCGACATTTCCATTGAATTTTAAATTGAATTGTACATATGTATTCATTCTCTTTTCTTGCACTTCACCGCGATATCGGGTCCTCTCTG